CTGTATGGAAAACAGTATGGAGATTTCCCAAAGAATGAAAAGTAGATCCAGCAATCCCACTACACAAAGGAAAAGAGATCATTATAAAATTATAAAACGTTACCTGCATGTCTACGCTTTTTGCAGCACAATTCACAATAGCAAAGATAGGAAATCAACCTAAGTGTCCATCAACTGTTGAGTGGATAAAAAAATGTAATATATAGAACCTCCATAGTTGACCACCTCCTTTAGTTAACCTAATTTTCATAGACCAGACATACACCATATGCATGTACCAGCACAGGAGGCCTGGTTCCTTATGCTGACCTCCTCAGGATGTTGACCAGTTTGTTACAGTCCCTTGGGTGGTCAACTTACAGATGTTCTACTGTGTATACCATGAAATGCTACTCAGCCAGCACAAAAAAAAAAAATGTCTTTTTCAGCAACTTGGATGGAATTGGAGGCCATTATCCTAAGTATCTTAAGAAAGGAAAATCAAATACCTCAAGTTCGAACTTACAAGTGAGAGCTAAGCTGTGTGTATACATCATCATACAGAGCAAACTAGTGGTCGCTGGAGATGCCAGAGGGGGGCTTGAGAGGGGGGCAAGGGATAAAAACTTATCTAACAGGTACAAAGTACACTATTCAGGTGATAGGTGCACTAAAAGCTTAGACTTCCGCATTATATAATATATACACACAACACAACTGTGCTTGCACCCCCTAAATCTATTGAAATACAGAAATAAATAAAAAGCCATGTTCTGGCTCAGTGCCCATAGTTTAGTGGTTAGGGTGCTGGCCACATATACTGAGCCTGCTAAACAACAATGACAATGACCAAAAAAATAGCCGGACAGTGTGGTAGGCACCTGTAGTCCCAGCTACTTGGGAGGTTGAGGCAAGAGAATCACTTAAGCCCAAGAGTTTGAGGTTGCTGTGAACTATGACTCTATGGCACTCTACCGGGGGTAATAACATAGTGAGACTCTGTCTCAAAATAAATAAATAAATAAAATAAAAATAAAAATAAATAAATAAAAAGCCATGTTCCCTTAGCCTGCTACTATAAAGGCATATCCCAGAATATCCCAGATGATTTTTCTCAGTCTCTGCCTCCATGGTGATGCTTTATCTTCTTTTAACCCTAATAAAGGGCTGTGGAAATTCACTCACCCTCTGTGGCACCTGTGGACACCTGCTTTCCAGATGTGTAGGCACATGGCACCTGTCTTCTATTATTTCTTTCTTAGGATGGGCTTCAAACAGATTACTACCCAGAAAATCAGTGTTTTCATGTTTCTTCAAGAACTAATTTACACTAGTCTTTGGAAATTTACTGTTTTTCTCTGTAACAGGCAGAATAATGGCATCCCAAAGGTGTCTGGATCTTCTAAGTATGTAAGTTACAGGGGCAGAGAGACTTCGCAGATGGGATTGAGTGAAGCATCCTGAGAAGGAGGAGGGTCACCCTGGGTGACCCAAGTAGGCCCAGTGACCTTACAGAGTCCTTGTATGTGAAAAAGGGAAGAGAAGGGTCAGAGCCAGAGAAGTAGGGGATGTGATGAAGACAGAGGCAGGAGTGACACCACTGCTGGCTTTGAAGATGGAAAGAAGAGCCATGAGTAAGGAATATGGGAGGCCTCTAGAAGCTGGAAGAGTCAAGGAAATTGTTTTTCCCCCCAGAGCCTCCCAAAGGAACCAGCCTTGCTGACACCTTCATTTAAGCCCAGGTAACCCAAAACAGTCATCGCCTCCGGAGCTGTGACTTAATGACTTTGTGTTACTTTAAACAACTAAGCTGTAGGACAGCAATAGGAAACCAATGCATTATCCTCAGAATGCCAGTAATTTAGTTAATTGATATATTAACTGATCGATTGACTCATTTACCTATCAATATTGATTCCCTCTCAGCAAGGACTGCACATTCCACCTCATTGCCCAGCAAATCACTACTGCCCACCTGAGTGTAGGCATACGGAGCCTGGCTCTGAGCTGACTCTTCCCCACTGAGTGACCTTGAACAAACTGCAGTAAATAGTTCGTTTTGTCCAAAGGAAAGGAAAATCAAATTTCCTTTCCTTTCTGGCCTCTACCCTTGGCACCTGGGAGGTGACCTACCTGTAAGCCCCTGGAATTTTTGGCCTAATTGGAGAATCTCTGCTCAGTTGGGGGCCTTGAGCCATGCAGATAGTGATACTAACAATGTGATTGGTAGTGGAGGTCCTAGGAAATATCATATCACCTTGACCTTAGAAGGGCTGGGGTCTCAGGGCAGTTGTACAGGTGGTCAGTCACACAGATATGGCTGAACCCCCATAACAACCCTGGACCTCAAGGCTTGGGTGAGCTTCCTCTGGGTGCCTTGCCATCCATCACTGGCAGGATGAGTTAGCACTGTCCCCAAGTCTGGTGGCAGAGGGCAGCTGAATGCTCTGTGCAAGGAGCTCTCCTGGACCCTGCCCGCTCTGCCTCTTCTCTTGGCTGATTTTAATCCATATCATTTGCTGTAACCCACCCTGGCCACAGATATGACAGCTGTCAGTGCATTCTGTGAGTCTTTCTGGTAACTTAAAGGCCCTGAGGGTGGTCTTGGGCGCTGCTCTCCGACACTGCATGGTGTCTGTTGTTATCATCACTGTGTTCTTCAGGAACAGAGTTCCATTTTTTCTCATCTTTTTCTCAGCCCTGACTTCCTAAGAAAGGCTGCAGCTGGGAAGCCTCAGCATGAAAAGCCTGCAATTTTACCACCATCTCCCAGGAGCCTTTTAAGAGAAACAAACATGAAATCCAAACAGACAGGAAGGTCTGTGTGGCCCCTGGAACATGGTGAGAGCAAACTGGGCCCGAGCCCTGTCATTGTCAGGATGACTCCGGCTCTCTGTGGGACACCAAGCCACAGAGCTTGTGTAGTTCACTAGCATCCATCTCAGTCAAACCTTGAATTTACTGTTTGTTTAAAGGCCAAGAGATGGTGGGAATTTAGAAAAAGGTGCTTTTCTCTGCAGGCCAGAGAACCATTAGGTGGCAATCAAATTTATCTCAACTCCACTGTGACTGCAATATCACAATCAGTGTCAGGCCCAAAGAAAGAGTGAAATTATGCCCCTCTGTGACTGGGCCTGGGTGACAGTCAGCCAGACAGCAAAGCAAGCTGCCCTGTGAGCACACCCCTGTGTGCAGGTGACGATGATAATAAAACCTTTTGAGTGTCCACTATGTCCCTGACACCCTTCTTTACGCTTTACAGGGTGACTCTATTTAAACCTCCTACTACCCCCACTTCAGCAGTGGAGGAGTTGGGGATGTTGGCCATCCAGGCAGACCCAAATCTCCGGCTTTCTCAGCACTCTAGTGGCACCACCCTCATCCAGGCCCCGAGGTCTCCTGCATGGGCTGCTACAATGCCTCCTGCCAGGGCTCCCTGCCTCCACCTGTGCCCCACAGTCTGGTCTCCCCATGGCAACCACAGGGATCTTTGTAAAACATGAAGCAAGTCCCTTCTCTACTCAGAACACGCCAGTGATTTCATATCATACTCAGAAGTAAATGTAAACATCTTGGGATGGTCTGCACACCCTCCAAGAGGAGGATCTCTGGCCCCACACCCACCTGTCTGCCCCTCCCTCCTGGCTGCCTGGCTGCCTCACACTGGCCTTCTTGCTGCACCTGCCTCTGGAGCTTTATGAAAACCAGCACTCTCATGGAGGGGTTTGCAGCACAGTTCCAGGGGCTGAGAGCTCTGTGCTGCACAAGGTGGTGCAGTGACACTTGTTCCATGAACGAATGAATGAAGAAACTCTCCTGAAGTCACTGGCTAGCCGGTCAGTAATTTCATGCTCAGGACCCTAGACCCAGATCCGGGCACACCCCCTGGGCTCTATGCCTCCTACTGACCACGCTCCAGTGGGGCAGGGGAGAGGCTTCTGGAGCACCCCCATGCTCCAGGGCTCGGCCCTGCCCTCCTGTGCTTTGTGCTGCCATGAAGGTAAAGGAGCTCCCCACCTCCATTCCACAGAGGAAGAAACTGGGGCTCAGAGCAGGGCAGGCTCTTGTCCGGGACTCCCAGCTAGGAGGGCACAGCCAGCAGTGACAGACTGTAATTGCCTCCTTTTGGAATATCAGGTAAAGCTGTTTCCAATAACCACAAGCAATGATTTCCAAATTAAGGAATGTAAAATAAATCCAGCTAGCTGCAACTTACGGCTTTGAAATTATAAAGCAAATCCAAAGCCACACCTCTGGACTAATTCTGGGAGGCAAGCTGGCGTGGGCCTTGACTACCTCCCTTAGAAACACTCACGCTGGCACAGGGAATCACACAGCCACTTTGCCCCAACAATCTCCCACACAGCATGTGTCCACGCACCTCCTGAAATGTCACCCCTCAGTCCCACCTGACAGTGTCCTCCAACAGAAGGTAGAAGAGGTGTCCCAAGCTCTCATGGGCCCAGCAACTATACCACACACAGAAAAACTAAGTACATGACATCCTAAGGACGTGGCTGGGACAGATGAGGCTGTGGTCACTTCAGCATCTTTGACAAACCTTTACTGAAACTGACATATTTAGGGACACCCACTGAGGCTGGGCCGCACTTGCCTACACATGGCTCCATTTCTTCCCCGTGGCACTAATTGCTAGGGCTTTCATCATTGCTGTGTGAAGGAGGAAAGGGAAATTTTGTTGGTCAAGATCTCGGAGCTGAATACTAGCTTAAGGCAGAAATGTTGGAAACTGATAGAAATTGTCCCCTGCAGAGGTGAGCCCATGTGTCTACTAGGACGCTTGGAGGTGAGAGTACCGAGTACCTGGGAATGGAAGGTGCTCAGATAGGGCCCTAGCCAACCTCCTTGGTCTCTGCTGGGGACACAGAGGAGTGTGGCCCATCTGGGTACCCAACCAGTGAGTGCTGGGGCAGGGGCTGCGCCTGCATCTGTGGTCCCTGGCCAGGAGGATGTCAGAGAAAGTGAGGATCTCACCTGCTGCTCCCAGCGAGGCCACATACCTGGCAGAGTGCAGCTGCAGCTTCAGTGGTCCTGATGTTCTCCTCTAGCTCCAGGTCCCACAGTCTCAGCCTGTGCCTCTCCAGAACCTCGTGAAAAGCCTGTGAGGAAAACAGGAGATGAGTCTAGCAGAAAAGTGCAGGGCTTTTTCTTTTTTCCAGAAAATTCTCCCCACTTGACCTAGTACTCTTAGATTAGAAAGATGTTTTTCTCTGTATTTCACATAAGGAAACTGAGTCATGAGCTGTCACGACTGTGGCCAGGACCAGCAAAGTTGATTGCCAGCAAATCAATTTTTGTTCAACCCAGTATGAGTAGGGGCCGCTGGGCCACTCTTCATCTCTCTGTCCTGGCCACCAGCCCTCTAGTTGTCATTTTCTGACACAAGCTGAGGATCCCAGCAGGGTGTCATCAGAGGCCCCACATAGCCAAAGGGACATGGTGTGGCAGGGCAGGAGGACAGAGGTGCAGATCCCTGCTCAATAAGGGGCTGGGGCATCAGATGGGTCTTTAAGAATGAGGAACGGTCCCTGAAGGGAGGTGGGAGCCAGGCTGGAGGAGCAGCAGCAGCAAGACAGAAGGGCAGGACCCGGCCAGGCAATGGGAGAGGGAGGGCAGGGAGCAGGAATGGATGGGAGGCCCCGAACGTGCCAGAGAGCTTGTTGCCCATCAGCCCACCTGCCCACTCACACTGTCATTCCTGCATTCATTCACTTGTTCCTCCCTTCATTCATCCCACCCTGCCTGCGTCCTGCACTTCCAGGACAGCAGTGTGTGCCCTGTGTTGAGGCCCTGGGACACAGGGGTTATTCTCGCATCTTGTCCCCCTCTACACTCCCACTGAGCAATGTGATGATAAGCACAGGGGCCCAGAAATCTCACAGTAACAACAAGCTGATAATCTTCCTCATTTCAAATGTGTCTTTTCAAACACAGAAACAGCCACCTCCCACCCTTGTGGCAGACAGAAGCCCTGAGCCAGAAAGGTGCTCCCTGGGGTGGGGGCGGCTAGACCAGGGATCTAGAAGCCTCTGCTCTGTTGGCTTTCTAAAGGGGTGTTGCTACCACTACCAGGAGGGCTCCCAGGCTGTGCTCTGGGCGGAGGCTAGACCCAGACACAGTCTCACTGTTGCCTGGCAGAGCTGAGATGCACCAGGCAGGTGCTAACGCAGGGCAGGACCCACAGAAACAGTCCAGCTAGGGCTACGTGGTCTCACTGTATCCTAACTACACTGTGATGTAGGCACTGTCTCACTCATTTCACAGATGAGAAAGCTGAGGGCCAGGACGCTATGCCACGTGCCCAAGGTCACTTGCTATTCAGCAGCAGAGTCAGCACCTGACCCAGATATGGCTGGGCCCAGTGGTCAGCACTTAGCTCCCATGGAAGAAGGTCACTGATAAGCAGTCCCTCCCCTGTCCCCAGACCGTCACTGGGGAAAACACACAGAGCAAAAGAGTTCTGTTCTCTCCCTCTGGGTCATTCCAGCCTGTGCTGGCACTGCCTGATCCTCTTCCCTTGAGGAGGGTGACATTTTGCTTCCTGTCCTTCTGCAGGTCACCTTTGCCTACTCCCAGGCAAGACCACAGGCATCTTCCAGCCTGGCCACCTCCTGGTCCTGCCTACTCAATCCCAAGTGCAGGGCTGAGACTGCCCCCTCCTACAGGCCTTGTAGCTGACCCACGAGGGGGCTATCTCTGTGTGTGAGTCTGCCTTACTCTTGGGGGTACGCTAGTCCCATCTGGCCCCTACAACACTGCCTTTGCACCATGGCAGGGGGTTGCCCTCTGTGGAGCCCCTGCTGGGTGCTGGTGCTCGGCCAGGCCCTCTCTGTGATTTTCCCACCTCCTCTTCCTGGCAGCCCTGTTAGAGCAGTGTGATTCTCACCACTACCTTGCAGACCAGGAAGCCGGGGGTCAAGGTGAAGAGACTGGGCTGTGGCTACTCAGCTAACACTTGGATGGCAGGGAGCCAACCTCATGTCTGATGGATGCCTCTGGCGTCCTGGGTACAGTGACAGAGACTGAGCCACTACCCGGCCACCATCCTCTGTGTGCCCTGGAACTGGGGGTGTGCATCACCTTGAGGAACTCCTCTGGGTCGGTGGGCAGCTGAGTCTCAGAGAGGAAGCTTCTCTGCTTCTCTTTTTGGGCCAGTGTGAGCTTTGCTGTCCCCTCAGCCTGGTGAGCCACAGACTCCTGGACCAGCTCTTTGCCTCGCTGGACAAACTCTGAAATGGAAATAAGAAGAAGTGACTCTCCCAGCAAGACTTTCAGTGGGGACCCTCATGTGTTCTTCTGCCCCGGGGGTGAGGACACTGGCACTGGCTACAGGGATGATGCCTGCCCTACCAGTGACAGCCCTAGGTTCCTCCTGTGGGTCCCAGTAACAGTGTGACCCTGACTAAGTCCTGACACCCTCTAAGATGATCCCTGCCCCACCCATGTCCTGGGGTTGGCCTCAGGGCAGGCGCTTGTGGGGACACTCAGGCAGCTTAACCACAATGGGCTCTGGTTCTTGCCTACGAACCCCCTTCAGCAGGGCCACATGACTCTGGCAGAACCAGGGGCTGCTTCAGAGTGACACAGGTCACTTCTGGCCTTTTCTACATTAATTTCTAGTGGGAGAAAAGGAAACACTTCTACACTGCTGGTGGGACTGCAAATTAATACGTCCCTTTTGGAAAGTCTGGAAAACACTTAGAGAGCTAAAAATAGACCTGCCATTTGATCCTATAATTCCTCCGCTAGGTATATATCCAGAAGACCAAAAATCACGCTACAATAAAGATATTTGTACCAGAATCTTCATTGCAGCCCAATTCATAATTGCTAGGTCATGGAAGAAGCCCAAGTGCCCATCAACCCATGAATGGATCAATAAATTATGGTATATGTACACCATGGAATACTATGCAGCCCTAAAGAAAGATGGAGACTTTACCTCCTTCATATTTACATGGATAGAGCTGGAAAATGTTCTTCTTAGCAAAGTATCTCAAGAATGTAAGATTAAATATCCAACGTACTCACCCTACTATGAAACTAATCTATAGCTATCGTAGGAAAACTATAACCCCAATTTTAGCCCAAGAATACAGGGAAAGGGGAAAGGGAGGGGACGGGAGGGCGGAAGATGGGTGGAGGGAGGGTGATTGGTGGGATCACGCCTATGACTTATCCTATAAGGGTACATGTGAATCTTACTAAATGTAGAATATAAATGTCTTAATACAACAACTAAGAAAATGACATGAAGGCTATGTTGACCAGTTGGATGAAAGTATTCCAAATTGTATACAGTAACAACCCACTGTAGACCATGAAAGTATTAATGTACACAGCTATGACTTAATAAAAAAAAATTCCTAGTGGGAGGCCGTCCACTGCCCCTCTGACTGTTCCTTGGCCTGAATCCCTGGTGAGAACAGGGAGGAGGTGGCCCCCGCCCCAGCAGTGGCCCTCATTGACTGCTGTGCAGAGCAGGTAGGTCAGTCCTGGAGAAGCTGCCTGGCTAGGTCTGTAGAGGAGGAGCGGAGGGCAGCCTGTACTCAGAGTCATGGGCACCATTCCTGTCTCCTGACCCTTGCCAGCAGCCCAGCCCAGGCATCCCAGTTCACGGTGCCCGCATGCACTCACCCCTGCTGAAGCGCTCTGCCTCCTGCCAGAAGGCCTTGTGCTGCTGAGTCAGCAGCTCTTCCTTCTGCCGCCCAGATAGCTGCCCCTTGACGGTCAGCAGCTCCAGGCTGCGGGCGATGGCGTCTAGGCGGCACCTGGCCTCCTCCTGGATCTGTAGCCTCAGGGCCTCGATCACTTTCGCCATGTGCATCCGCCCCATTGTCCTGTCCAGGGTCCCCTGCAAGGAGAAGCACACGGGACCATGGCCTGGGCACCAGGCCGGCGCTGCCAGGAAGAAACCCTCTGTCTTGTCCCTTCAGTGGGATAAGAATGCCTGTCCTGCGGTGCCGAAGCCAGACACTGGGTAACACACGAATGGTGCTTAGTACCCCCTGTGCACTGCACAGCGGGTCTCTCCTATGGGAAGTAACCCAAAATACTCTTGCAATAAAAAAGGGAGAGGAAAACCTGCCTTTCTTACAGTTGTCCCTCCCCCAGTGGTCAGATTCCACATTAGGCCCTCCCCACCTGCCACTTTATCATCTCAGGGACACTGGGGAAAATGGAAGATGTTGAGCAGAGGTGGCCAAGGAGCCTGGAACAGATGGAGACATGGGGTTTCAGCACCTCCTGTAGCCGAGGTCACCTCTGTCCTGCACCACAGCCGCAGCCTGATCCTGCTCCCCAGCCTCCACCCCGCCCCATACACTGTGCCTTCCTGTGGCAGATGGGGGCCCTTCAGAGATGCTGACACAGCTGTCAGGGGCTCTGTCTATCAGACTCATGCCAAAAAACCTGGGTACAAGGCACAAGCCACACGCCCGCCTGCTCCTGGCTGCCCAGCTTCCACCCTCTCTGCTTCCCTTACCTGCCAGGTCCTTGTTAGCCACGTGGGCTCTGGGGCCCTTCCCTGTTGACCCCCACCCTCCCTGATCCCTACTCCAAGTCGCCCGTGTGCCCCACCCAGCCCTGCACCTCCTGTGTGCTGAGCTGCAGTGGTTTGAGTTCCAGCAGCATGAGACCTGGGCAAGGATAATCCCTAATGGACAGGACTGCTGAGGTTTCCTGCAGAAAGCCCAGCCTTGCTCTGAGCCTGCCCCTCCTCTAAGTCAACAAACCTGACAGTGACCCCTACAGGGCATGAGAGGGTAAGTGGAGGTGCAGGGGTGGGGTGGGCAGGGTGGGTACTGCGGGTCACCTGGCGGGAAGCATAGCTCTAGGCAGCAGGATTCGCAGGTTCCTCTCTACCAGTGTTTATATCCCTGACCTCTCATGGGAGTAGTTTGGGAGTTTTAAAACCCACGATACCATTGCCTCAGGGGTGACACCCAGGCACTAGCATTATTTAAAACTCCCCAGGTGACACACAGGCAGTCGGGAGAGCAAACTGATGCTCCATTTACACCAGTGGGTGTCAGATAGGCTGCTCACTGTCATTATCTAGAAGCTCCAAATGCCCCAATGTGTAGGCTGCACCCCAGCCTGGTTAAGCCAAACTCTCTGGGGTAGGGGCTCATCTGGGGCCTGTGGATCAGCACTATTTAAAGCTCCCCAGATAAATTCAATGTATGATTTTAGGTTTGAGAACAAGTATACTAGGTTGCAGGAACATTGAGCTGGCCAGAACTTCCCTTACTGGATGGATGGACAGATGGCTGGCTGGCTGGCTGGAGGAATAGATGGATGAATGGACAGTTAGACGGATGGGTGGATGGGTGGATGGATGGATGGATGGGTGGATGGACAGATGAATGGATGGATGGACAGACAGATGGATGGGTGGATGGATGGACAGACGGATGGGTGGATGGATGGATGGACAGACGGATGGGTGGATGGATGGATGGACAGACGGATGGGTGGATGGATGGATGGACAGATGAATGGATGGATGGACAGACAGATGGATGGGTGGATGGATGGACAGATGGATGGGTGGATGGATGGATGGACAGATGAATGGATGGATGGACAGACAGATTGATGGGTGGATGGATGGACAGACAGATGGGTGGATGGATGGATGGACAGATGAATGGGTGGATGGATGGACAGATGGATGGGTGGATGGATGGACAGAAGGATGGATGGACAGATGGATGGACGTATAGATGGACAGATGGGTGGACGGATGGATGAATTCACTGCTTTCTGTTGGGGATCTATAGCCCCAGCTACAACACAAAAGTGATCTCATAGGTGTTTCAAGGCTGGGATTCCATCTGGTTTGAGTATCTTCTTGTTCCCTTCCCACCCCCTCCATCATTACCAGGGTCTGCAGATCCTGGGAATCATGCAACAGCCCTTCGGCTGCAATCATTCTTTCCGTCAGCATTGTCATGAACTGTTGGGTTTTGGTGCTGGAACACTTAAACTGGTCCACAAGAAAGTGCTGGATGTTTTCCACCTGTTTCCAGAAAGCTTCCATCTGTGAGAGAGCAGGTGGAGTAAGAAGTGGAGGAGAAAGCTTATTTAAGAAAGCAAAATGGTTCATGCTTGGGAATTACAATTCACTCCTTATTGCAGGGAGAGGTTATAAACAACCCTACAACTTCAGGGAGTTTATCTCGGCAACAATCTCATTCTACAGAGAGGTCCCTCCTCCGTTCACTGAGTTGGCTTTTCAGTAAACACCAGTGTGCCACTGATAAGGCAGGAAAGCAAGGAGGTCCTCTGCCTAAAGACCCTCAGCCAGGTCATGATCTCCATCGGGAGGCACCTGAAATGTGGCAATGGGCTCCTGGAAGCCCCGGGATCTTTAAAAGGTTAAACGCGTCCTGGAAATAAAAGAACCAAAGGCCATTTAAACATTAATTATTGACCTAAAAGTACAAAAGAACAATCTGGCAGAGATGATGCTGACCATGAATGAAAACATTTTGCTTAAAAATCTTTTTCCTAGAGGGAGACTTTGCCTCATTCATGTTTACATGGATGGAGCTGGAAAATGTCCTCCTTAGCAGAGTATCTCAAGAATGGAAGAAAAAGTATCCAATGTACTCAACACTATTATAAACTAATTGTTAGCTATCTTAGGAAAGCTACAATCCAAATGGAGCCCTAGACTACAGGGAAAGGGGAGGGGGAGGGGAGGGGGGAGGAGGGGTGAAGAGAACGATATTGTGGGGATCACGCCTATGATCTATCCTATTTGGGTACAGGTGAATTTGTCTGAAGGTTGAATATAAATGTCTTAACACAACAATTATGAGAAGGACATGATGGCTATGTTAGCCAGTTGGATGAGAGTTTTCCAAACTGCATATGGAAGCAACACACTGTACCCTATGATAGAATTAATGTACACAATTATGATCTAATAAATTAAAAAATTAAAAAATTAAAAAAAATCTCTTTCCTTCCTCCACCCGTCTTATCAGGAGCAGAGGTGGGAATGCCCAAGTGCCTGAGAACGTAGGGGTTTAATTTACGTCATGGCCACCCATCAGAGCTCCCAGAACAAGATCCCTGACAGCTTCCTCCATGGTATACAGGTTACACACTGTGCTCTGGGCTTCACACAGGCAGGATCCAGATAAAATAAGTATTGGGAGCGCGTGGGAACAGGCTTGGAAGAGTTAGGTGACTCATCAAATGTCACCGAACTAATTAGAATCAGGATTGGAGTCCAGTCTATTTAACTCCACAACTGAGATTTTCTTCATCTGGGCTTGCCCTTTCAGACACTGAAATGGACACTTCTAGCTGGACAGGGCATGGGTGAGGGACAGGGGTTACTAGCAGCAGACACTCATGCTGATCTTGTTGCTGTGACTGAAGGTCACAGCACTTCTAACCCTTCCACTGGGCTGGCCTTAACTGCTCAGTCCACCTAGCTGTGCTGAGCAAGCCTGCCCCTGTGGAGAGGGCCCTCTCGCTGGTGTGGCTTCCCCTCTTAGCTCTCACCCTGCTTCTGCCCCTCTGCCCCATTGAATGACCAGCCTTCCACCTGTCACAAGCCTAAAGACTGCCACTGTCACCTCTTGCACACCCGTTCTGCTGATAAACTCTGGATCCCCTTGATGCCTGACACGATTTTCTCCTGCTTCCTCTAAGTGCCATCCGTCCTTCCTCTGTGTTCTTGTCCTGATCCCTCCATGATGCCGCCTCCTTAAACACTGGCAGGTTCCACAGTTGGACACCAGGCTGCTTTTTCTTCTCATTTCACACAAACATTCCTAGGCCAGAGGCATCTCCATTTTTGGTGGTCACCACCATTTTGGAGAATCTTCCGAAAATTATAAAACTTCTTGAAAAATGTGGACACAGACAAGGTGCTGCACACAGCGTGGGGAGGCTGTGGAGCACTGGGATCTGGGCACAACCCTCTTCTGCAGCCACCTCAGCCCGGCCCATGGTTCTAAGAACATTCTTAACCTCCTGGTTCTCCAACCTGGGCTCTCACGGAGACCCTGTAGCCCCAGGCTTCTCCACTCAAGATGCTGAAACTGGGCTTACCATCTCCCTCCTAACTTACATCTTATTCTGGGGTCCTTATTTACCCCTTATTTACTGGCCTTCTGCACCCTATTTCTGCCCAGGTGCCGCCCCAAGACATACCCCCAAGTCAGCTCTTGGATTTTTCCTTACCTCTCCATCCCTACCTCTTAGGGAAGTTCCTGCTGACCTAGCCCAACATTCTTTACTACCCTCCATTCAGCAGCCCGAGTGGCACTCCTGAAACAGAACCTGAACCGGGCCATCCCCCACCTTGAACCTTCGGGGACTCCCACCTCCCTGGTATAAGATGCAAGCCCTCTGGCTGGATCTGTTCAGCTTTCTCTTGCCACTACCCACTGCCCAGCCCTCCCCAGCTCCTGTCTCTGCCCACATACCAGGCAGCACCCACGCTTCCGCCACCTAGCCTCTCGATGGGTCCTTCTTCTGTGGAGACCTTCCTAAGCCTGAGGTGAGAGGAACTCCTTCCACTGTGCTTTCCTCACTTCTCCTCTGCAACCTCCTATCCCAACACATCTACCCACAAAGTCCTCATCTGCCACCGTGCAGATCTCTTGTGAGAACAGCCACATCTGTGTCAATTTTGAATTCCCAGGGCCCTGCACAAAGCCTGGCAAAGATATAGCACCAAGCAAATGTTTATTAGGTAAATGAACAAGGGGTGGTGAAACCCAGAAGAAGAGATATTTGGGGGGAGGTTTTCTTTCTGGGATTTAAAACATGCTTTTCTGAACGATGCCCGGGGTTTGGGAAGTCAGCAGCTAGCACCTGCCCCACCCCAGAGGGCAGAATACTGTCACATGGAGGGCTACGCCATCTTTGCTTTGAATGATAGAAAGAGCAATCTGACATACAAACAGCATAATTCATTACATAAAAAGCAAATTTCTCTTTGTAAATATTTGCTCTGTAATTTCACGTTCTCTATCACTTAGCTTTAGAAACTGGAGCCTGTCTTAGTGGCGGAATGTGACAGGGAATTCAAGTATTACACATGCTGTCAAGTATCATCTCTTTAATCCAGCCAGTTTAACTGTCCGGAAATCAAGGTGTCTGTACAGGAAGGAGTCTGTCACGTACGTTATCTATTAGCTGCTCAGAATATTCTCTCTCCTTCTTTTCCACGTCTGCCAGAGTGATGTATTCAGAGTCACCAGCACCCAGCATTTCTGTGTTTGACAGTTTGACCTGAAGTCCCTTTTCTAACTCCTCCAAATCCTGGAGAAAAAAGAAAAAGCAAATAAACTAAGAAAAAAAATTAAATTTGTTTTAAATTCTAGAGGAATAGATGTTTTTTCCACAACACTATTGTGAAATTGTTCTTAACAACAATTAAATGCTCTAGGCATTGTCCCATTAAAGGACTGATAAGAAAAACTTAGTTTTCTCATTATTTTCTTCTCATTAATTATTTTCTTCTCTATCACCCTGTCCCCGATGCAGAAGATGATGGTGGTGGTGGTGACAAGAGTGATGCCAATAGCAATGATAATGATGATGATGACAAAACTATGGTAGCTGTGGTGGGAGGAGGAGGAAGAGGATGATGGAGGGGTGGTGACCGGAGTGATGACAGTGATGATGACGAGGAGGAGAAAGGTCGTGGTGATGGTCTAGGAGCAGGAGGAGCATAAGGAGGGTGTGATTATAATAATGACAATGAGGAAGACGGTGGCAGTGGTGGTGGCAAAGGAGCAGGATGCTGGAGAGGTGGTGACCGTACACAGTGATGGGGGTGAGGATGGTGAGCGAGGGTGATGACAGCACTGACGCTGACAACAGTGGTGACAGTGAAGATGCTGGGTCATGCTGATGGCAGTGAGAAGGAAGAGGGGGTGGTGGTCACGAGGATGATGACAATGCTGTAGATGAGTGTGACGATGACGGTGGTGATGACAGGGACAAGAATGGTGACATGGTGACAACAACAAAGATGAAAGCCGTGATGGTGATGACAATGGCAGCAATGTCATGATGAGGGAGATGGTGACAGCAGTGGCAGTAATGGTAGTGGCACTGAAGAAAATGATGGCGGTGCTGATGAAGATGACAAAGGCGATGACTGTGATGGTGGCTGCGGGGATGATAATGAGGAAAGCTGTCACGTATTCACAGTCTATCGATTCCTCTGCATCACGTGCATTTCTGTCCCTCCCTCTGGCGTCCCCACAGGATAGGAATTATCCCACTGCACAAAGAAAAAAACTGAGAGTCTGCGAGCTTATAAAAGACAGAACCAGGACACCAACCTGGACGTGCTAGACTCCAAGCCCTGACTCTTTTACTGCACGTGAAACAATATTAACTTTCTATGAAAGACTGAGATGAGTAGAATGCAAAGAAGGATAAACAGCTTGAACCAATAAATAAGATATATCTTTTAAAATGTTCCAAACTGGTCCAGAAAATAATATTAATTAAGATTGCCTCTGAGTGGTAGATATGACCAACATTCTTCTCTTTGTCTGCAATAAACGTTTTTCCAAATTGTAATAAGAGATATTGTCATTTTTTTTTTTTAAAGACAGAGTCTCACTATGTCACCCTGGATAGAGTGCAGTGGCGTCACAGCAACCTCAAACTCCTGGGCTCAAGTGATTCTCTTGCCTCAGCCTCCTCTCAAGTAGCTGGGACTACAGGTGCCCGCCACAATGCCCATTTTTTTTGCTGCATTTGTCATTGTTTTAGCTGGCCTGGGCCAGGTTCGAATCTGCCAACCTTGGTGTATGTGGCCAGCACCCTACCCATTAAGCTACAGAAGCCACCCAGATATCGTCATTTTTATATTTGTTCCATACTTTTATATGTAACATTGTGTTAAAAAGTATATATTGTAATAAATTATTTTTATATATGAAGAAAAAATATGTCCATATCATACGTATTACACATTCTGATAAACTATGTTTTAAGTTACCTTGAAATACAGGTTGAAGACTTACTTACATTTTCTTGTTTTGAAAGAATCTTCTGGTACAATTCATCATCAGATTTCTTTTTAGGAAGAAGTTCAAGGAGGCACATTTTAAGAATCTGAATAAACATCTATTGTCAAAACAGCAAAGATAACAAGAAAGAGGTTTAAACCATGGCGTCTTTCTTCCTCCCTTCCCTGTTCTCTTTCCTGTCTTCTCTCTGTCCCTTTCTTCACACTTACTTTTTGCTATAGGAAAGGTCCTCATGTAATGAATCATAAGTATGGCTTATAATTGATCACATTTTTGTGAAGCTGCTAAAGTATGCTTCGTTTTTTCTTTACTCATTGATTCAACCAACTTGGATGCCTACTCCATGCAAGGCCTCCACATTCCCCATTTCCATATAGATCAAGGAAATACAGAAGGGTAAGGGGGGGGGCTGCTTCCATGAGGAAAGAATCAATGGACCACTGTATGAAAGTGGGATATGTGCAGCCATCTACCTCGCCTTCTGTCTCAACAGATGGAAACATCCCTTAGACCAAGAAGGACCCTCCTGTAAGTGGGGATACCCAGGAAAATCCAGAGGACGCTGTCTCCACCATCTGCTTACCCATTCACCCACTGTGGGACTGTTTCCAGGACTGGCTTATTACACGTGATGCTGCTGTGAACACTCACGTACAGGCTTTTCTGTGAAAGTAAACTGCTCTGGGATAAATGTCCATGAGCGCAACTGCTGGGTCTTCCAGTTAGTACATGTCAAATTTTGGAAGAAATAGCTGAAATGTTTTTCGGGGTGGCTGTACCATTCTCCATCCCCCCAGCAATCTATGAGTGATCATTTCATTTGGTGCTGTCACGGTCTGATTTTTGTCATTCTGGCAGGTGTGTAATGATATCTCACTGTGGTTTTAACTGGCATTTCCCTAATGGATTAAAAGTGTTGACATCTTTTATGTGTTTATTTGCCATTTTTTAGAAAAATGTATGTTCATGTCTTTAGCCCATTTTCTAGTTACATTGTTTTCTTTTTTTAGATGAGTTCTGAGAGTTCTTTGTGTATTCTAGGTACTACCATGTTTCCTCGAAAATAAGACCTACTCATAAAATAAGCCCTAGAAGGATTTCTATGCATTTGTTAAATATAAGCCCTACCCCGATACTAAGACCTAGTGATGGGCATTTTGGGAGGGAGAGGAAGATATCCCCTGAAAATAAGCCCTAGTGTGTCTTCTTGAGAAAAAATAAACATAAGACAGTGTCTTATTTTTGGGGAAACATTGTAGGACTTTCTTTGCTGGATATGTGGTTTGCAAATATTTTCTCTCACTCTGTAGTTTCTCTTTTTATCCTCTTTAATAAAGTCTTTTGCAAAGCAAAACCTTTTTAATTTTGACAAAGTCCAATTAATTAATTTTTCCTTCTTGTGGGGGGTCATGCTTTTGGTGTCAATCATAAAACCTCTTTGCCTAAGTCTACATCCTAAAGGTTTTCCCTACATTTTTTCCTAAAATATTTATAGTTTTATTGTGTACATGTAAATATATTATCTGTTTTGAGCCAATTTTTATGTAAAGTGTGAGGCTTAGGTTGAGAATCTTTTTTTTTTTTTTTTGCTTATGAATATCCAATTGCTCCAGTACCATTTATTGAAAAGCTTATCATTCCTCTACTGAATTGCTTTTACATCTTTACCAAAGATCGTTTAGACAAAATTGCACGACAAGACATTTTTTAGTGCAATAGTTAGCAAACTATTTTAGTAAGGGCCATACAGCCAACATTTTCTGGCATTGTAGACCTGATGGTTTCTTTTGCAACTATCCAGTTATGCTGCTGTAGCATGGACGCAGGTACAGGCGACATGGAAACAAGTAGGCCTGTGCAGATCTGACTTAAGGGCCACGGCTTTTGATCCTGTGTTAATGGGCTCAGGTTTGTTAAGCATGCTTCTGTGGCCAGCTAGTATGTATATGTGTGTGTGTATATATATACATACAGACATACATATGTATATACACACAGATAGATAACACATACTATCACGTGATCTCTACTGTGTATGAGGAGGTTGGTACAACTTTCCCTATTTTAAAATCAAGGCCCCCTCCCCAGTTAAGAAAGCTGTACAACTTGCCTCATGCTGCATAGCCTAGAGGAGGGACGGAACTGAGGTTCGAACGCAGAGCTCTCTGTGGTCTCGAAGAAGAAGATAGTGTCCTGGCCTTCCACTAAAGCCAGATATAATATAAGGTAACATCCTTTTCTCAAGATGCTTCTTTGTGACCCAAACTGAATCAGTAATGTGACAGTTCTCATCTGATCCCTTTCAGTAATGCTAATTTTTAAATAACTCAAATTAAGGTGCAAAAGTAGCACAGGCATACCACAAAGATATTGTGGAATTGGTTCTAGATCACTGCAATGAAGTGAATATTGCAATAGTCACACACATTTTTGGTTTTCCACCACATAGGAAGTTTTATTTACAGTAGATTGCAGTCTATTAAGTATGCAATACCCCTTAATTTAAAAATATTTTATTGCTTAAAAAAAAAAGCTAACAGTCATCTGACCCTTTAGGAAGTCATAATCTTTTTGTAGCTGGAGGGTCTTGCTTCAGTGTTGACAGCTACTGCCTGATTAGGGTGGGTAGTTGCTTAAAGGTTGGAGAAGCTGTGACACTTTTTTAAAACAAGACAACTGTGAATTGATTGAGTTTTTCTTTCATGGAAAATTTTTCTGTAGCATGCGATACTCTTTGATATCATTTTACCCACTGCAGAACTTCTTTCAAAATTGGAGTCAATTCTCTCAAGTCCTGCCACTGCTTTACCAACTAAATGTAATGTTCTAAATCCTTTGTTTTCACTTCAGCAATGTTCACGGCATCTTCACCAGAGAAGATTCCGTCTCTAGAAACAGCTTTCTTTGCTCCATAAGAAGCAACTTCTTATTTGTTAGTTTTATCATGAGATTACAGAAATTCAGTCCCATCTTTCAGACTCTACTTCTAATTCTAGTTCTCTTACTATTTCTACCACATCTGCAGTGGCTTTCTCCATCCCCTCAACATCATCCACGAGGACTAGAATCAACTTCTAAACTCTTGTTGATATTTTGACCTCATCATGAAGATTCTCAATGGCATCTATAATGGTGAATCTTTTCCAGAAGATTTGAATTCTCCCAGATCCATCAGTGGCGATGGCTGCTACAGCCTTAGAAAATGTAACTCTCCCTCCCTCCCTGCCTTCCTTTCACTCTGTCACCAGGGCTAGAGTGCAGTGGTGCCATCATAGCTTACTGTAACCTTAAACTCCTGGACTCAAGCAGTCCTCTTGGCTCAGCTTCCTAAGTAGCTCGGACTACAAGCATAAGCCACCATGCCTCACTTATTTTTCTATTTTTTGTAGAGTTGGGGTCATGCTCTTGGCCTCAAGCAATCCTTCCCCATCAGTATCCTAAAGGCTTGCAGTATTTCTTAAATAAGAAACACCTGACAGTATTTGTTAAGTCAAAATTACTCCTTGATCCATGGGCTGCAGAAGGGATGCTGTGTCAGCAGGATCAAAAACAACGTCAATCTTTTTGCACATCTCCATCAGAGCTCTTGGATGACCAGATGCATTGTCAATGAGCAGTAATACTTTATTTATTTATTTATTTATTTATTTTTGAGACAGAGCCTCAAGCTGTCCCCCTGGGTAGAGTGCCGTGGCATCATAGCTCACAGCAACCTCCAACTCCTGGGCTCAAGCGAGTCTCCTGCCTCCGCCTCCCAAGTAGCTGGGACTACAGGCACCAGCCACAACGCCTGGCCATTTTTTGGTTGCAGCCATCATTGTTGTTTGGTGGGGCCGGGCTGGATTCAAACCCACCAGCTCAGGTGTACGTGGCTGGCGCCTTAGCCGCTTGAGCCACAGGCACTGAGCCAAGTGGTAATACTTTAAATGGAACTTTTTTTTCTGAACAGTAGGTCTCAACTGTGGGCTTAAGATATTCAGTAAACCAAATCGATGTGTTGTCATGTAGGCTTTGTTGGGCCACTTACAAGCACAGACAGAGTAGATCTGGCATCACTCTTAAGGGCCCTTCAGAAAGATAAATGAGCATCAGCTTTACTTAAAGTCACCAGCTGCACTAGGCCCTAACAAGGGAGTCAGCCTGTCCTTTAAAGCCAGGCCTTGATTTCTCTCTAGCTATGAAAGTCTTAGATGTCAGCTGTTTCACCTACATTGAAAATCTGTTGGTTAGCAGCAGCGTTGTCCATGATCTTAGCTCGGTCTCCTGGGTGACTCACTGCAACTTCGCCATCAGCACCTGCTGCTTCACCTTGCACTTTTATGTCACGGAGACGGCGTCTTTCCTTAAACCTCATGAACCACCTCTGCTGGCCTCAAACTTTTCTTCTGTTCACATTCTCACACTTTTCCAGTTTGTAACAGAGTGCCCTGTGGGCATGTCAGTCTGTGTTTCTCTCTGTTGCTGCCTACCCTTCTCTCTCCCTTCCCTCTGCCGGTCTCATTCCTCATTCAACAATTCAGAGAATGTGCCTCAGGGAGAGATAATTCCTCTTTTTAACCCCTGTGGTCTCCAAGCCTGGGCTAAGCCCCTTGAGTGTTCTGTGGCTATAGTGGGACTCCTCTCTCTGGCTCTTGCGGCTCAGACCCACGGTTGATTCAATCAGAGATTGTGAGTGTCTGGTGAAGCCTAATCTTGTTTTCCTGCCGTCCACAGCTCCATGCTCTCGCTCACTTCCCTGGAGCACATGTGCCTATAATGGGCACTGAACTTTGGGTCTCAGCTCTGCACCTGCAGCTTTCGAGGTCTTAGCAAGGCCTGCTATGGTACCTCAGTTTCCTTCTCTGCAGAGAGTGAAGATAGTTATGGCACCCACCACTCTGGGTTGCCCTGAGGTTTAAATGTAATCACCTGTTTAATACTCCCAGAACCTAGTACACAGCAAGCACTTAGTAAAATCCACACTCAAAAATATCATCACTATCATCATTCCTTTGAAAACATTGTTGTTCCCTTTTAAACATTGCTGACCTCCGTTTCTGGTGGGGGTGTGTGCTCAGGGACCAGGTGCTCATCTTTCTGTGTAGGTGCTCCACTCTGGCTAACACATTAACACGTGAGTTGTATTTAACTCATGCTGGCTTTGAGCCTGGGGCCTTATAAAGCAGGCAGAACTGGTGGATGGTGGGAAGGTCCATGTCACGGTTTTCCCTGACAATCAGCCCGTCTCCCCCACCCCTGCCACCCTGCCCCAGCTGGCCTGCCCAAGCATGCCACATGTGCCAGGCTGTGTTCTCTGATTACTTCTTTTTGAAGGTTTTATTCTATTTTCCTAATAAAACACTACGGCCCCAAGGAAAAAGATTTTTTCCTAGTGCAGCAGCTGGTGTGTTAAGGTTGCGACAGCAGGCCTGACCCTTCCACTCCCTGAGCTCTCTCTGTATTCACTGATGTCCCCTTCTGGAGAGCTTCCCCAGAAGCTCAGTGCACACAAAGGGCCTTATGTCCTCATAAAAGGAAGAAAAAGGAAATATTTCCACCCACCACATGCTTTTCCTGCCTCAACTCTGTGTCCAAATGCAGCAGATCTTTTAAGTGAAGGCTGTAGACACACAGGTCGATGTCTATGCTGAAAAATAAAAGGAGAGAAAGACCTTTAGAGTGTCTGGGGTGGAGCCACAGAGAGTTGACACAGTGCCAGGCACAGTGGGTCCTGCCTCCACACCCCACCTGGCTGGGGCCACATCCCCAACACCCACCGAGGTTCCTTAAGAATGAATCAAATGAGCTGTTGGAAACCCACTAATGACCAGGAGGGGACAACAGTTGGTGTGAGAGCTGCAGCTGCCTAGGGCATCCCAGATAAAACCTACAGAGGAGGGAGGCTAGAGACACAAAATGACTTCCCTCCTGGAGCATTTTCACCTTTGTCATCACACTGTCATCTCCCTTCATGCCATAATGGGGACATTCTTATGACCAAACTGACTCAGAGATATGGAGTGGCCATCACAGGGTCATGGAGGGGGACAGGAAAGTGGCAGAACATGAAGGTCTCTGACATATGTTCCCCATAGGCAAAGTGTTTTAAATAACAAGCAAATGCTCTAAGTCCAAATGCTGAAAGACAGCCATTCTAAGTCAGGGTTGGCCAGTCCTAGAAGGCCCCATTTCAATAAAGTCTTTCCTTTCCTAGCCACTTTCAAGATCAATGGCAAGTTCGAGGATGTGAGCCCATTCTTTCCAGAGCTCTGGCACAAGAAGGTGCCCTGGTTCATCCCAGCCCTGGAGTTACAGAGCTTCAGAACATAGAGAACCGGGAGCAGTTCACAAACATGCCAAGGAGGGGCCCTACCCTGGGCTGGTCAAACCAGCTGTTCCTTCACTCCCTGCAGTGTGACCTTGGGCAAGCAATTCAGCCTCTCTGTGTCTCACTTTAATCCTTAAGAAATGGGGCAATAATAACATCTAGCTGTAGGGTTGTTAGGAAGAATTGATTAATTTGTGGTTTAATACTTACTGATCACTGAACCGGTCCCAGGCTCCCTCCCTCTGGGCTGTGTGCCCCAGAGGGAATCAGCCCTTGTAAAGTGCTTAGAGCTCTGCCCAGCACATGGCCTAGAGAGCTGCTGTGTGTGTTGCAATGACTGTCAGTGATCAAAAAGATCCCCTTGTCCTTTCTCTGCAGGGCTCCATCCTGGCTCTATAATCCCAGTGTTAGCCAACATCCATAGTAAGTGACAAACACATCTGGGACCCAGCTCTAACTGGGTCGCTGTGTGTCCCTGGTGGAGTCCCTTGACCTCTCTGGGCCTCTGCTTCCTCCTCTGTCAATGGTACAACCCACCGTTCCCGTTCTTACCTCTCATAGGCCAGCACCTCGGGGAAGGTGCTCACCCGGAGGAAGGTGCGGCTGAGAAACCTGTCGTCGCTGGTGGCCGAGTGGATGCTGGATGAGGAGCTGCAGTCGTCCTTCCCGGCCTGGCTCAGGCTCCCCAGGCTGCTGGAAGGGGAGGCCTCCACGGGCTGGTGCGGCAGGACCACCTGCTTTATGTTCTCATGCAGGGATGGGTTAGAGGACCCATCGGCCAGAGGCTGGGATGGCAGGAGGGAAATTGCTATTAATTCAACAGAGGGCTCACGGATTCACTGTAGGACTGGGTGACACGTGGTGGTGACTCACTGAGTGGCCGCTGGACTAGACTGGCCAGAGGTGCCCACGACAGAGCCAAGACACACCTGGGTGACATGTGGTGGTGACTTACTGAGCGGCCACTGGCGTAGACTGGCCAGAGGTGCCCACGACAGAGTCACGACACACCTGGGTAACCTGTGATGGTGACTCACTGAGTGGCCGCTGGACTAGACTGACCAGAGGTGCCCACGACAGAGCCACGACACACCTGGGTGACCTGTGATGGTGACTCACTGAGTGGCCGCTGGACTAGACTGACCAGAGGTGCCTGTGACAGAGCCACGACACACATGTTGGTGATGGAGAAGACCGTCATCCACCCGCCAAATAGCTAGTGAGGGACGCGGTTCCCAATGTGCATTCTGAGGAGCAGTTCCCTCAGCTATGACCAGTCACTGCTCACATGAGGGTTCCATAGGAAAATTATAGTTTGGGGAAGGCTGCATTAAACAAAGTGGAATAATTTCTTTGGTGTAGAGATTCTTAGAGCCTTCAATATGCCCTACCTGTCTTCCAAAGCTAATAATTATTTCAAAAACCTACCATGTACCAAGTGCTAAGACGTCACACATCGCTCTGAGACCTTGTGTGTCTTCAGTGCTATCCTCAGTGAAGCTAAGGAGGCAGACCCATTATTCCCATTTCACAGAGGAAGAGACTGTGGCACAGAGAAGTCAGACCACACAGGAGATGCAGAGATGGGAGTTAGGAGTGAGCTGATGGGACCCCAGAGCTTATTCTCCCAACCACCTAGAGAGTAGGCAGCATTTTCCTACATTTCCTTGAACTGGAACTCTTTGGCTTCCCAGCCTGAGAGCTCCTAGAAACACCATGGAACACTCTCTGCAAAGCCCCAGCCATGGGCAGGAACTCCTGGCTGTGGGTGTAAGAGCAGTAGCCAGGGTTAAGGTTTGAATGTGGCTCAGCCACTTCCTGGTACGGGACTGTGGGAGGGCCTCAGTTTCCTTATATGCAAAGTAAAGACAATACAGGCACTCTGCCACACTGCAATGCCTAGCGCGTGAGAAATACCCAGCCCCAAGCCAGCCCCACGACATGTGTTCAGCATGTGCCAGCTGCCGGGTTAGTCCAGCGGCCTGTGAATTGATATTGCAGGCTGGGTCAGTATCAGAATTTGTATCAGTGTTAAAGGGCAGGGTGGGTGTTGTGCCACATTGCTGCACCTGGTTCCCTAGGTACTTCCTTGCCTTTTTTCTTTTTTCTTTTTCTTTTATTGCTCATAGTTTATTAGGATCAAAATCCTTACCTTGGACATACCCTGTTCCTGAACATCCCACTATAAGTGGATTAACCCCAAGTTTTGATCCATTTCAAAGTGTCAACTTACCCTTCACTAGGACCAGATTGCCATTTAATCCCTCCACTAACCCCCCAATTTTTAGTACATGACTGCATTAACTGTATTTCTATGACGAAGCTGAGTACACTCACCCGGAACTTCTGGTTGATGGGGTAGATGACCTTTGCCTTCAGGGCAAATGCAGTGATATTGCTGTTAGAAGGCCGCCGGCTTTCCTGGTAAGGAGAGAAATCAACGTTATGAGAAGGCTTCTGAAAAATGAAGGATAAATCGCCAAGAGTTTCCAAAATGCCACATCCTGCTGCTTATAATAGGATCCTTGGACAGGGACCACAGCAGGCACATTTATTTTTATTTTATTGTATTTATTTTTATTTTTTGAGACAGAGTTTCATTATATCACCCTTGGTAGAGTGCTATGGCATCACAGCTCATAGCAACCTCCAACTCTTAGGCTTAAATGATTCTCTTACCTCAGCCTCCCAAGTAGCTGGGACTATAGGCACCAGCCATAATGCCTGGCTATTTTTCGTCCTAGTTGTCACTGTTGTTTAGCAGGCTCAGGCCAGGTTTGAACCTGGCAGCCCTGGTGTATGTGACTGGTGCCCTAACCACTGAACTTGGGCACCAAGCCGAGTAGGCACATTTATATACAAGTAAATGCTCACTTGCTAGAAGGATGGATGGACAGGCAGATGGATGGATAGATGGACATATGGGCAGATGGATAGGTGGACAGGCTGATGGATGGACAGACTGATAAACATATGGAAAGATGGACGGATTCATAAATAGGTGGGTAGACGGACTGACGGACAGATAGATGTGTGTATGGACAGATGAATGGACAACCAGATGCTATCAAAAGAGAATGGTACATTCTTCATTTAATTCCAATTCTTCAGCTTTGGAAGAAATAAGGATATGAATAAATTGAAAATAATCAATAGGCATCTCCTAACAAATTGGGAATCATTTTTAAGTAGAAAAAGCAAACAAATAAAAAAACTTCAGCATTGCCAGTGCATAAGCACATGTGGCAATCAATATCACACAAGACTTTGGATTAGACCCTTAAACAGAAGTGGTTGTGTTAACCACTTTTAACTTCTCTGAGTTTCCATCTTCCCAGATAGTAAATATAGAGTATCTGCCCCCAAGACCTGGATAACCTCTAGCTTAGGGGTTCTCAACCTTCCTAATGCAAGAAGTTCAAGAACTGCTGTGCTGAATTGCTGGGGCAGAGGGAAAGCCAAGCAATGGGCCACTACTTGTAGTGGCGAAATGACCCGCTCAGATTTGCCTGCCTGGTTTCTTAACTAAGTAGCTGTCCTGTATTCTCACGCCCTCTGCATCTGTCTCCTGCCCTGCACTTTACAAAGTCAGTGCTGAGTAAATGCGTCCAAAACAAGCAGCAAGGACGGCAAGCAGGCAGGCAAGCTGGAGGCTGGCTCTGCAGACCATCGGAAATCTGTCCTGAACAACTGGAACAAGCTGACTGATGAAAACTGCATCCACATCTATTTCAAAGCTTATCAATTAGATCTTGAAGAATGAGCTTCATAATGAAGGATTTATTTCCAATTGCAAAGTTCACCTTGGAGTAAGACACCCTATTGTGGGAACAGGAGAACCGATTGCTTGCTTGCTCACCATTTGGGGCACCGAAACACCCCCTCACTGACCCAGTGCTGGGGTCACATATGTCTCCAGGCAGAGTGCCACTGGGATGCCTGTGAGAGGCGCAGGACCACTGGGGCCTGGTTCTTGTCATTTATCTCTATGTCCTGTGACTCACAGGATGGACTTAGAGGAGAGGATTTGGGGGAGATCTGCAACATACTCAATCTCCTGGGCTTCCAAGGACACTGCCAGAGAGGTTTCTGTCTCCACTTCTCAGATGGAGAAACTGAGCCCAAGACCACACAGCTAAGACTTTGCTGGCTTCAGGTCCATGCTCACCATGCTGGCTCCTTCAGCATGTTAAGAACAAGAGGAAGAGCTGTGCCATTTGAAGTGGGATCTCAGTAGAGAAGGCCCCTGGGCTCGGCTTTACCGTGCACAGAACTCAAGTCAGATATGAGGCACTTTGTCACCCCAACCCCCCACGTCTAATCAACCCCAACCCCCATGAACTTCATCTCCTAAATAGCTCCCAAATCCATGGCCCTGGACTAGGACTCCATCGTTTCTACCCTGAAGGGCTGCAGTAGCTTCCGAACTGGCTCCTCATTCTGTACTGAGGCCTACTATGTGCTGGCCACTTTATGCATATTTGCTCATTTATAGTTTATTTTTTAAAAATTTATTTAAGATTAATATAAGGGTACAGATGATTAGGTTACATTGTTTGCATTTGTTAGGTGAAGTTCAAGTTGTAGTTGAGCCCTTCACCCGGGCGGCGTGCTATTGTGCCTCCATTGTGCCCATTAGGTGAGAGCTCACCAATCCCCTTCCTTCCCATTTAAATTTAATTGTGTTTTTCTCTCGTGTGGCATGCAGTTGTTTATCTACTGGTTTCATATTAGTATTGAGTACACTGGATACTTGCTTTTCCATTCTTGCGAAACTTTACTAAGAAGAATGTGCTTCGACTCCATCCAGCTAAACACAAGAGATGTAAAGTCTCCGTCTTCCTTAATGACTGAATGGCACTCCACGTTTATTAACCCATTCCTGGTTGATGAGCACTTGGTTGAGTCCATGTCTTGGTAATTGTAAATTGAGCTGTGATAAATGTTCCAGTGTAAATGTCCCTATGGTAAAATGATTTTTTTTTTCTCTTCTAGATAGATACCTAACAATGGGATTACAGGATCAAACGGAAGGGTTACTTTTAGCTCTTTGAGGATATTCCATACTTTTTTCCATAGAGGCTGTATTAGTTTGCAGTCCCATCAGCAGTGTAAATGTGTTTCCTTCTCCCCACATCCACGCTGGCACCTCCAGCTTTGGGACTTTGTGATGTGGGCCATTCTCACTGGGGTGGGGTGATATCTCAGGGTGGGTTTGATGTGCATTTCTCTGATGATTAGGGATGATGAGCATTTTTTCATGTCTTTGTTAGCCATTTGTCTGTCTTCTTCAGTGAAGGTTATGTTCACGTCTCTTGCCCATTTATACATGGGATTGTTTGCTCTTTCCTTGTTGATTAGTTTGAGTTCTCTGTAAATTCTAGTTATCAGCTCTTTGTCAGATTCATAGCATGCAAATATCTCCCCCCATGTTTCCTCAATTAATTATCACACAACAGGCAGCTTGAAGAGGTCTATACTATTATCAAGTGAAAAACTAAGGCTCAGAGGTCAAGGCCTTCTAACGCATCCTCCACATGGGAACTGAATGATCTTTTAAATATACAATTCCTTTGGCTGCTCATCTTAGAGCTCCCCAATTCCCTCTGACTGGAGGGCACAGGCCCAGTCTGCTCCCACTTTCTACTTGAAGACTTGGTGACACACTGGTACAAAAGCAAGGAAGAGCAGTGAGATTAAAAAGGCTGATCTCAGGGCTAGTTATATAATCTGTGAGCCCCAGTGCAAAATAAAAATGGGGGTTCTAATTAAAAATGATTCAGAATTTCAAGATAGTGAGAGCAGAGCCCAGCAGCCAGGGGGAAGGCCCTTCCTAGTGCAGCTCCGGGTGACCATATAGTGCACAGGCCCCTGGTACCAGCCTGGCCAGGTGTCCTTTGGAGACACATTTGCTCACGGGAGAGATGCAAAATCAAAAGGTCCTATGAATGTTTAAATTCTTACACATGGAGGTGAAAAGGAAGGACAGAGAGAATAGAAAAGTGTGGTCTCTCCTGCCAGGAGTTGATCCTTAAGAGCGGAGATGAAAAACAAAAATACAATTGTAAGAAGAAAAAGATGTCAGAGCAGGATCCACTCCAACCCATAGGAGCACCTAGGGATGGAGAATAGGGGATTATGCATAGGAAACAATCCCGGCTGGTGGGGAGGCTCCCCTATCCTATCCACCCGCAGACTCCACTCCCTTGGAAGGCTGGCTGAAGGACTGTCACGGCTTTGCCAGGAGAGAAAGGACGTAGAAACACTTGGCACCTGGAGTCAAATAGTGAGCAGGATTCTTTCTGCTGCTGGAAGAAAAGCCACTGTTTTTAGTTTTTAAAGCTTTCCTTACTAAGCTCAGATGTCCTCCAAGTTCTGACATTCTCCCCAGCTGAAGCAATACAATCATTTAGAAAATTAGTTGTAGCACAAAGTACAGCATAAAATTCCTTCACCTGAAGCAATGCAATTATTCAGAAAATTAGTTAAAGCATAATTGCAGGAAGAGAAAAGCCATTTTGCTCACCGAAATAAAGGTGTTCCTTTCAGTGAACACACAAATGCATCTCTGTCCCTCTCCCTCCCTTCAAAGCAAAGGAACCAGATGGGGGAGACCCTGCCGGCCTGTGGAGTAGCATGCCTCAGAATCTCCTGGAATTTTGTTTGTTTTTGGCTGAGATGAGCTATTCATTAAACAGAGTTCACTCGAGCAGCGGCTTGAACCACAATGCTCTGGTTTTCTGTACACCCGAGGACACAGGAGTTGCAGCTGGACTCATGGAGCCGAAACAGTCCTAGCTACATATTTCTGAAAAGGTAATGCTGCAAAAGCAAGGGCGTTCTGACGAGCCAGCCACCGGGACAGGCATATCATTAACTCGATTCTTACCAATTATTAGCTTGGTCATGGGCATCGTGGCGGATGGGGGTGGGGGGACTAAATAGTTAACAGGAAAGATGAATTAACCATCCTGGGAGGTAGAAAGGATTTGGCCCCTCTGCAAACACTTGTTGAGCACATTTTCTATGGGGGGACTGTTTACCAGTTCCCTTAGCCTGGCAGGAGGGCACAGCGTTACTGCCATAGTACGGTGGGGAACATCTGTGTTTCTTGCCCGACATCACACAGCAAATGCCAGGCAGAGCTGGGTGTGCTTCTAGGATCCCAAACCAGTGTTGTTTTCGTCACTGGCAGTTTTCATCTGAGCTGTGTGAGCAGCGTCGGCTGTTTAACGCTCCACACACCGTACACTCCCCCTGTGTAAAGTACACAATTTAACATTTTTGGTGTCTTCACGGGTAAGTGCAGCCATCACCACCATCAATTTCACAACATTTTCATGGCATCAGAGAGAAAACCTTCAGCTGTCACCCCTGTCCCTCGGGTCGCTCCCAGCCCCTGGCACCCTCTCATCTCCTGTCCATATCAATTTCCCTTTTCTGGATATGTCACAGGAATGGAATACTATAGTATGTGATACTTTTGTGACTGGCTTCTTTCATTCTTCCATTTAGCATAATAGTTTCAAGGTTCATCCATGTTGTAGCTTGTATCGGTACTGCAGTCTTCCCCGCCCCCCCAGGCAGGTTTTTGCTCTGTGCCCCAGGCTAGGGTGCCATGGCATCATCATAGCTTATGGGTTCAAGGCATACTTCTGACTCAGCCTCCCAAGTAGCTGGGACTACAGGTGCCTGCCACAACAGCTGACTAATTTTTCTATATTTTTGTAGAGATGAGGTCTTGCTCTTGCTCAGGCTGGTCTTTAACTTCTGACCTCAACTGATCCTCCTGCCTCAGCCTCCCAGAGAGCTAGGATTACAGGTGTGAGCCATTGTGCCTAGCCCCAATACTTTTTATGGCCAAATAATATTCCATCTATGACTATGACACTTTATTTTTTCATTGTTAGTCAGTGGACATTTGAATTGTCTCCCTGTTTTGGTTATCCTGATAGTGTCAGTCTTAACACGTGTGCCCCCGTTTTCATGTGGACATTGGTTCTCATTTCTGTGATCAGAGAACTAATAGTATGGAGGGGGGCAGAGGGGTAAAAAGAGATTAGGGAAGACAGAGACAAAGAGATAGGGGATGGCAAACACCTGCAGGCTCACACTCAGTCACAGTGACACGTGCAGACCCACGGAGACCCAGCCAAACATCCACCCAGCAGTGAGCAGTGAACAACTGCGGCACGTCACACAAGGCCAGTGCTCAGCACTGAGCTGTGGATTCTGAATACACGTGACAATATGGACAAGCTTGAAAGCATTCTGTTGAGGGGACACAGGTTCCGTCTCTAGGAAGCTCTTGAACAGCCGAACCAAGCTCTGGTGATGGAAAGCACATCCCTGGTTGTCTCGGGAAATATGCGTGGAGGGGGGATTGACCACAAAGGGGCACTAGGGGGCTCCCTGGGACGATGAGACCTTCTTGACGGGGGAATGAGTTCCAAGCATGAGTGCATTTGTCAAAACTTATCAAATTGTATGTAAATCACACGTCAACAAAAGCAGCCTATTGGGGAAATCTTGCTGGCCCACCCACCTCCCAGTTTGCAGCTCAGCAAACAGACACAAACCCCAAGCTCACCTCTAGAGCAGCCTCATCTCTGGACATCTGTGCTTCTCGCTTCCGCCTCCTTGGTAGGGAGCCAGCTTCCGAGGGAGTCTGGACATTGGGCTCTAAGTTCTTGAGCAGATGTTGATCATCGTCTTTCTAAAACCCAAAGGCCAGGGATGGGGGTGGACGGGTAGAATCACCACACTGAGGTCTAACAGCCTGGTCCCCCCTTGACTCTGCCAGTCAACTTCCCCACGTCCAGTGGCTACTTCCACTAAGCTCTGTGCTTCTGCCCTGTGTGTGCAATGCCCCACCTGGGGCCTACTGCATATCCTTCAAGACTGTCCAGGCCCCCTCCCTGAGACGTTCCCCCCAACACCTCCCAAGGACTTGGAGCAAAGCTCATTCCATTTTACTTCTGGGTCGGTGGCCCCTATTAGATGGTGAATTTTTTAGGTGGGGGGGAATAACAGCTAAGCATGGGAAATGGCATGTAAATATTAATTTTCCTATTGTTCTCAATAATGTCATTGGATGGTTTTTAAGACAATATCTTAGGTAACCTTAAATTATAAAGTAATTGTGAACTGCACTGGATGCTCTTTATTTGTGGATTCCGTGTTTGCAAATTCCCCGACTTGATAACATTTATTTGTAACTGCCAATAAGTTCTCATGGCAAATTCACAGTTATTCCTGGATTGTGCCAGGTGTGAAAAATCTGATTCATCTGATGCATATGCTCTCAGATGAAATTATAAAAAGGTGATACTCTGCCTGCTTGTGTCAGCGCTTACGTTGTAAACAAACGTCCTTTTCTCAGTCTATTTAGTGCCATAATTTTTGCATTTTTGTGCTTTTTCTCAGTGAGTCTGCTGTTTAAAATGGACCCCAAGCCAGGTGCTGAGGCACTGTCTCCTGGCCTCAGGAAGGAAGACTGTGGTGTGACTCAGGGAGAAAACGTGTTAGAGCAGTTTTGTTCAGTCTGGGTTCACAATTGCTCTGTAATTTAAGGGCTGTTGTCTGTGATCCTAATATCATTGAAACAAAAATGTACATAAAATATTATAATTGAATAAAAAATGTACATAAAATAAGATTGGTATTGATCAGTTATTGGAAATTTTGTGACCAGAGACTTGTAGGAACCTAAGCCTGCATGTCCCCTCAGAGTTGACTAAGGTGGTGTTCTCAGTGACTGCACAGAATACAACTACAGTGAATAAGGAGAATAGACTGCATTTAAAATTCAGTTATGCCAGAAACACTTAAGAACTGCCTCCATGACCACTAGCTGCTCACAAATGTAATCTCAGAATTGGAGAAATACCACAAGTTTGTCACTAAGTTATCAGCAACTTTACCCAGCACTTACTATGTGTCAAACTGTGTTCTAGACACTGAGAATAGATTAACAAACAAAATACACAAAGTTCCTTCCTTCATGGAACTTATCACATTCTAGTGAGAGAAGACATAAACAAATCAACAGATAAATACACAGTATGTCAGGGATGATGTCTTATAGGGAAAAATGACGGAAGGTGAGGGAATGGAGAATGATGGGAGGGGACATCTCTTGGATGAGGGGGTGTTTTAGGAAGATATTTGAAGAAAGTACGGGAGAGAGCCTTGAGATATCTCAGCAAAGAGCATCCCGGGAGTGGGAACAGCAAGGGCACAGCCTCTGAGGCATGTCCAGGGAAACCTGTGTGGCTGAAATAGGGGTGGGTTTCAGGGTAGATGATGAGGCTACACAGCTTTTTGGGTTGTTTGTTTAGCAAATACAAATGGCCAGTACAAGGGTTCTGCAAGGAAGTACCCAGTGAGATCATTTTACAGTAAAGACCCCGGAGAAAAACCTCACCCATCCCACAAGGAAGCACGAGTTTTTTAATTCCCTATGTAAAAATGACCAAGAGAGTCACTAGCCATTTGTGGATACACTCTAATATAAAAGACAAAACCTAAAACAGAAAGAAAAAGCAAGCAGGAAATAGATACTCACAGGGAAAAGAAAACATAGGTATCTGTATAATCCTCACAAGAAATCAGAGAAGATAGTTCATCCACAAAATAAGAATAGGATAGAGTAAATACAGAATATTCTGAGAACTCTTAAAAATTAAACATACGGAAAATTCAGTGAAAGTATAAAATCGAGAAAAGTCCCCTAGAAAACATAAAAAGACAAAAAAATGGGAAACTGGAGAGAAAGAAGAGGCCCAATTCAACCTAAAAATGATAGGCGTTCTTGAAAAAGAGAACATTTACAATGAAAAGAATCATCAAAGAAATAATCAAGAAAATGAATTTCTACATTGAAAGGGCATTCCAAACGCCTAGCACAAAGGATGATAACAGACTCCCTCTAAGACCTCTTCTGGTGCAATTTCATACACTGAGGGCAAAGAAAAGATTCTTTAAGATTCTATAGAGAAACAAAAGATATTTCATGTGAAATATCAAGGATCTAAATAGAATCTGTTTTCTCATCAGCAAAAATGCAAATTAGAAGACAACAGAAAAGTGCCTTTAAAATGCTGCCAAGAAATTATTTCCAGCCCAGAATTGTATATCAACTAATGTAACCAAAGTAAGTATAGAATAGAAGAATATAGATATTTTTAGACACAGAAATTCTGATAAGAGTTCCAGCCATCCCTTTCTCAGAAAACTACTGAAAGATGTGTTCCAGCCACACAAAAAAATTAGTCAAAGAAAGATGAGTGCAGGAGTTCCCTGAAACAAGATCCAGCTCAAGGACAGGTGAGGAAGACCCAGCAGGATGGTCCTAAGAGGTCTCAGTGGCCACAGTGAAAGCCCAGAGTAGCTGCTTCTCAAACTTTAAAAACTTTAAATCACTTGGAGGGCTTGTTAAACACAGTTTTCTGGGCCCCAAGCCCCAGAGCTTCTCATTCAGTGGGTTTGGAGACCCAGAAATTTGCATTTCTATCAAGAGATATTGATAATGTTAGTGTGGTCCACACTTTAGAGTGCTGTCATCTAGAGACTAACCAGCTCAAATGGGAGGCACATCAGAATGCTTCTAGCACACATAGCTTTCTCAAGAAGAAAAAATGGATCAAATATCTAATGTATTCAAATGTCTTGAAAGGGATGTAAATAGAGGAGAGTTTAGTATTAAATGAATGATATGTACACAGAATCTAAGCAAATGAAAAAAATGATTATAACTTAATTTCAGGGAAAACAAAAGATTGTGTAAGAAAGAAAGATGTTCATAATCTTAACTGATCCTTGAATTACAGAGAGTAGAGTTTATAACATTGTAATAATAGAAACACTGAATATTGATTTAACTTGAATTATTCTATAACCATGTAGGGAAGGTGGTGGTAATATAGGGAGGTGGGCATACTTATGGACAAGGGGAGGAACAGTAACTAAACCTTCTTTCTTTCCACAGTGGGACATCACCAGCTGTTACTTACAGAAGCAGCAGCAGTGCAGGCATGTTATATAGAAATGGGAAGTAATTCCCAAAATACCCAGCTGAAAGAGTTGAATGAGGTGGCTTTATAAAATAAAATGAAAACAATGAATGGAAGGTGGTACCAGATAAAAACAAGACTTGGACCAGAGGAGAAAAACTGAGTGCCCAGGAGGCAGGAAGGAGAAAGTGCCTGACCCCTCAAGGAGAGTCAAGGTGTCCCAGGTGACCTCTCTGGTCCTGAAGGCTGATAAGGACAGAGAGGGAAGAAGGCCACAGCAGACAGACAGAACAGATGTGCAGACGTGCTGGGCATCTAGTGGGACAGTGAGATGTCTTGTATGGCTGGGCCGGGATGGGGCAATGCCTGGGCATCTGTGGGCTGGGCTGGAAGGTAAGTCATCTTATGCACTCTGCTAGGAAATCAAGCACCATTGCTAGGAAATCAGGCACTATCTTTTGTAGGCAACCAGGAGTTCCTGAAAGTTTTTAATCAGGAGAGTCATACTGTCAGAAGTCCATTTTAGAAATAGAAGGCTTGGCGTGGTGGCTCACGCCTGTAATTCCAGCACTTGGGAGGCTGAGGCAGGTGGACTGCCTGAGCTCACAGGTTCAAGACCAGCCTAAGCCAGAAAGAGACCCCTATCTCTAAAAATAGCTGGGTGTTGTGGTCGGCACCTATAGTCCCAGCTACCCAGGCTGAGGCAAGAGGATCACTTGAACCTAAGAATTTGAGGTTGCTGTGAGCTAAGATGCCACAGCACTCTACCAAGGATGACCAAGTCAGATTCTGTCTCAGAAATAAAAAAAAAAAGAAAAGAAAAAAGAAATAGAAGAGGAAGGAGACAGGAGGAAAGGAGTCTCATTCATTTGAAATAATGTCGTTGCAATGTTGCAAAGGCGACATCAAACTATGGGAAAATCCCATCAGCCCCACATGGCTGCCTCCCTGGTCTGAGTCATCACTCTCAACTGACCCTTTACGCCAACCTACACAGCTTGGTTCACCTCTGTGAATCACAGCTGCCTCAGCTACCAAATGGATATGTCACCAGGCAGCAGAAAATTAAAGCTCTGGATCTAGGGTTCGGAAGATTTGGGCTGAAATCCAGCCCCACTGTTTACTCATGGTGTGACCCAGGACAACAAACCCCAACTGCCTCCCTGTGAAATGGAGATAATAGTTCCCCTACCTTAAATGTCTGTAAACACTTTGCATGGGGCACCCAGCAAGGCTCTGCACATTATTGCCTTTCTGCCCTCACACAAGCCAGCCTCCCTTGCTCTCTCTTAGTCACCAGCAGGATCTGACAACCCAGCCTTAGCGAGAGGACCCTGCAGTATTTTAGTTTGAGCTCTTGGCAGCAGAACACTCCCCAGGAGTAACCCACATTGTGATCTAAGAGCTGTGATTCCCTGTAGCCCCAGGAGACTGTCTCCTTTTCATGTGGGCCAGGAATGGGAGGTGTAAGCCCAATTACCTCATCTCTGATCTTACCAGACCTCATCTCTCAAAGAGGTGGCGGCTAAGGGACCTAAAATAGTGGTCATACTTCAACTGATTGGAATGTCTGTCCTAGCCCAGGTGTTTCCATGGCCATCCAAGGCCTCAGGACAACTGCCATGTGAAGCACCTTTTAATCCCCTCAGGCTGCCACCCGTGACCCTCAACTGCTGTCATTTTAGCAAGTTACTTAACCTCACTGTGTCTCAGTTTCCTCATCCGTGAAATGGGAACATTAATAAATTCAACTCAAACTGTTGTGGAGAATCCATGAGATCATGCAGGAGCGGGTATATCTCAGTGCCTGGCACACAGTCAGCACTCAACAAGTGCTAGCATGATCAGTTTGGCATCACAGAACTCACTGTGCAGTGCCATACACAGGGTTTACTTGTAATGTGGTCACCTCCTTGTGAACCTCTAGCTGACCAGGGCAGGATCCGCCCAGCTCACTAGTGTGACAGGCAGTAGAACGCACTTAGCAAACTTTTATTACAGGGTGGATAAGTGGATAAATGTATTCCAGTGCCACAGCTAGGACTAAAGAATGGAGTGGCATCCCAGACGGCAAGGAAGGAAGAGGCAGAGCTGGGATGGACGTCCAGGCATGGGCATCCCCAGCCCTCCTGTCCAGCACTCTGCGCTTGGCCCCAGTGTAAGGTGACCAGATTTTAACATTGGTAAAGCGGGACACCATTGACGAGGGGGGCGGAGCAGGGGCGGGGCGGGGGCGGGGCCTGACAATAATGCAAACATTGATAAGCAGTTCTCGATAATCACTTCTCAACAATTATTTGTTATTATTACAGTTTAACATTATAAAACTAACAAAAATAATATAAAACTCATATCCTGGAGAAATAGCCACATGGCAGCCAAAACCGTATATTCCCTTACTGTTCTCCCGCCCGTTAGTGCTTTCTTTCCAAAAATCGGGACTTTTTTAACACGCCGCGGGACGCGGGACAAATTGTTAAAAATCAGGACTGTCCTGCCAAAAGCGAGACGTCTGGTCACCCCACCCCAGTGCCCAGCATCGTGCCCCAAACGCCAGTGCTACAAAGAAGCCAGAGGCTGGGGGATGGGGGGGAGGGAGGGACTGGGGTGTGTGGTGGCGGTCTAGGATTGCACAGCGGAACGGGAGTGAGCAGGCACTTCTGGGGTCCCCCGGGACAGTGTCCTCTAGTCACTCCGCCGCCTACCTCCTGGAGCAGACGGGCGCGAAGCCCGCTATCCCGCCCTCCTGGTTTCAGAGCCCGGGCTTGCCCAGCACCAGCTCCCAGGACCCAGGAGCCCCCTCCACCCCCTGCCCGCCCCGCGCCGGCCCGCTCAGCCCACCCACCTGGTGCCGCGGGCGCGAACCGCCAGCACGGCAGCTGAGCCAGAGGCCGAGGCCCAGGCCGAGAGCGGCGCCCAGCAGCACGGCCGGGGCCAGCAACGCGGGCGCCGGTCCTAGCACGTCCCGGCCGAGCAGCAGCCGCGCGTCCCCGGTGCAGGCCGCCGAGCCACGGGCCATTGGGGGCGCTCAGGAGTCCGCCCGTCGCATCTTGCCCGCCGCCGCGCCCGGTCCGGGCCAGCGTCCAGCTGCACCGGCCCCACCAGGACGGCGACGCCGGGCTCAGAGCCCGGACCGGCCGGGGGCGCAGCGCGCTCCGGCAACTTTCCTGCCTGCGCGATCTCCTGGCTCCCGCTCTGCTCCTTTCCCCTGCCCCGCCGCGCCCGAGGGAGGAGCCGAGATCGCCGCCTAAAACTTGGGGCCACCCCGCCCGGCCCTGCCCTCGGACTGAGCATGCTCGGCGACTGGGTGGGCCTGGGGTCCGGAAGCTCTGGAGGCCCTGCCGCGCCGGCCACTGGGGGATCGCCGGCTTAGCGGAATATGAGTCCGGCTGGTTCCTCTGGACGCAGCACGTGGATGCTGGCCGGGGGCTTCCTGGCCGTGGCGTTGGCGCTGGGGGGAAGAGGCTGTGGCCTTGGCCCTAGGGACCCAGGTCACCTCCGGGGCCCTCTTGGAGCTCAGCCTCCTCCGGATTCCCCGGCGGTTCCCAATCCTGGAGCCGGCCTAGGTACTCTTCCCAGGCAAAGCCGGAGGGGGCCCCAGGGGACCGCGCAGGTAAGAGGGGCAGAGTCTGGAGTCTTGGCTTCCTCCCCTCTGGCGGAGAGAAGGCCCCTGGGGCAAAGAGTCGGGGAGGGCAGGATCTGAATAGGAGGAGGCTGGTCCTTAGGTGTATCTGCTTGTGGCCAGAGAACTTGGAGCAAAGGTGGAGACTTTCTTCGGTGTGGCAGCTGCGGGTCTGGACTTTACACGCAGCCTGGTTGGACTCCACTGTGCATCCTGCCAGCTGTGTGATCTAGGTCAGGTCACTTCTGTTCCTATGCCTCTGTTCCTGGGCCACTGCAGCGTCTACCCCAGAGGATCCAAGGGAGTTGGATGCTTCACTGCGTATAGAGCATCTGGTTTAGGCAAGCTCTGGGCCAGAGTGTGGCTGTTGTCCGGAGTTAGGATTATTGGCTGGACTTTTACTGTCACTACACTCCTGGCTGATGCATTTAGCCATTACACACCTCATCCTTCGCCATATGACTGTGGCCCCAAACTTGGAAAGGCAGAGAGCCCTAGCTGTCACCTAGTAATCCCTTCCCTCCAAAGCTGGTCACAGTCCTAGTGCCTTTTCCTCCCAGTGACCTATCATACCGGCCCCTCTTCCCCTACCCATTGACACCCTCTGGGTTCAGGCCGCACAACTTCACCTTCACCTGGGTTCACGCCCTTGGTGACTCTCCTCAGGACTTCCTGCAAACTCTGGCACACTTTGGGAAGTGTGCTCTGGAAACCCACCTTGCACTGCTGGTCAGAAGGGCAAGCTGAGGCCCTGATGGCTCTGACTTGCTCCAGGCCACAGCGAAGGGAGTGGCCCTGTCAGGGACCCACAAGGCCCAGCCTCTGTCCTGTACAGCACACAGAAGACCACAGGCCCCGCGTGAAGAAGTGTTATGTGCTGTGGTCTGGCCCATCGACTCCACTCTGGGGTCCTCTCAGCTCTCCCCACAGGACCCAGTTAGCCCTGTCCCCATCCTGTTCTCTGCCTGTGGGTCCAGGAAATTTGCTGTACTTGCTCAGAGGTTCAGGCATCGACCCCACTCTGGGGTCCTCTTAGCTGTCCCCCCAGGATCCAGTCGGCCCTGTCGCCACCCTGTTCTCTGCCTGTGGGTCCAGGACATTTGCTGTAATTGCTCAGAGGTTTAGGCATCGACCCCACTCTGGGGTCCTCTCAGCTGTCCCCCCAGGATCCAGTCGGCCCTGTCGCCACCCTGTTCTCTGCCTGTGGGTCCAGGACAGTTGCTGTACTTACTCAGAGGTTTAGGTCTCTTAAGGGAAATTCTCTTCCCATTTCATCATATGTGGTCTGGAGAAACTCCACATCCGTGTACTGAGCTTTAAAAAGCCCAATGACAGAACTTTTTCACACGGTCTGTTTACTATTATCTGCCCTGTGGGATGGGAAGTCTCTGGCCTGTTTTGCAGGTGACAAAATCAAACTCAGAGAGCCATGTCCCCAGGCCTGTCCTTTCCCCATGTTGAGACCACACATCCCTGGCCTTAGCGGCTTTGAACATGCTCTTCCTTCTGGGAGGTCAATGCTAGCAAATCCTGGCAGACATTTACCTCTCTCAAGAGCAGTGGTGTTGAGGGCAGCCGCTGCCAAGTGGAAGGGACAGTGCCTACTGGGAAGGGCCTGACACTATCTAGAACCCAGGTGAGCCTAGGGCCCCTCACTTTCAAGGGCCACCCTTGCCTTTGCAGAAACATAAGAATGAGCACCTGTGTCCAAGCATCCTTGGTGCCTTGAACACCTCACACAGGCCCAGGCCCTGCCTATACCCGTCTTGTCTGTGGGGCCAAGCCTCCTTCCTCACAATGGGCCTGTGTCCTTCTCTGTGCTGCACAGGACAGAGGCTGGGCCTTATGGGTCCCTAACAGGGCTGCTGTGGCCTGGGGTGAGTCATAGCCATCAGGGTCTCAGCTTGCCCTTCTGACCAGTGGTGTAAGGCAGGTTTCCAGAGCATACTTCCCTAAGATACTTGTTAGCTGCTCCTGTGTGATTATGTGAAGCCTTCACTTGCGTCTCCCTCCTCCGGTTCATGCACTTGTTCATTCAGTTTACATGTTACTGCACCTGCTCCTAAGTCCCATGCGGAAGGAGGTGCCCGCCTGCACATGGTGACTGGGTGCTTTGAGGAGAAGGACAAAGAGTTGTGAGGGTAGCGTGGAGGGGAGGTCACTTAATTTGAAAGTCAGAGGAAGAAAATGCAGTGGAGACCTGATAGGTAAGTCAGTTTAGGCAGGGAAAGAGTGGGGAGAGGACATCCCAGGTGGCTTGGCATATTCCGTCCTCTCGCCCCGTGCTGCTGAGGTGTCTCTTGCTGAGAATGTTTACCACCTTGTCTGGGCTGTTTGGCTCCTTTGCTGGTTCCTGCAGGCAGAGTTTTTATCTTCTTTCAAGTCTTTATTTGATGCTTACTGAGAATGCCTCCTATTCCACAGTGTTTCTTAAAGTGGGGTCTGGGGGCTTGAGGCGTCACTGAACCATTTCAGGGATGCACAGAGTCAGGGCTGCTTTCATAGCAGTGCTGAGACATCATTTACTTTCCCCGCTCGCATGTTCTCGCAGGTGGCTGTGGGGGTTTGCACGGTGAAATGAAGCATGAGATTACAGCAGATTTAATAGAGAAGCAGATTTGAGAATCCAGCATCTTCCATTACTTTAAACGTAGACGGGATTTGCAAAACAATGTCATTCTTCTCACTATTTTTTTTAATTTAGGAAAACAGCTATTTTTCATAAAATGTGCTATTTATGCTAATATGCAATATGATTGTCATTCCTATTTAAAATGAATTAATAGACATTGAAAAATAATCTCACTCTATTTTAAACACATTGAATATTTGTAAATTTAATCTGCACAAACAGAAGCTTCTTGGAATGTCCTCAGTCAGCTTAAGCTCATGAAGGAGTCCTGAACCCACAAACCTGAAAATCCCTGCCATCCGATAGGCTCTGTCTGATGCTCTGGGACTGGGAGGTGAAAAAAAGATAAACATGTATTTCAGAATAAGTCCTTTCATAATTTGCATCACTTTATAATGTAATAGCATCATTTTGTTCTTCTTTTACTTAAATTACCAAACAGTAATTCGGGTTGGTTGTGATGCCAAGTTCACAACTGCTACTCCCAGGTAGCAGGCTGGAAGTGGTGAGACGGTGGATGTGTCCAGAGCTGGGTGAATTACCAAAATAATAGTAGTAAAACCAGCCAGACACTTCAAAACATTATTTGATGCATTGTCTACTTATTATAGCTTCAAAGTTGCAGCATTGGAATTCCGAGCTGAGGTAACCAATCCCTGAGTACTTCGTGAGACGTCCTCTGGAAAGAGGGGGTCTTTGGGGTTTTCTCTGCTTCCCCTTCTCTCTTCATAGCTGTAGCACCCCAGGGTCTCTCTCTTTTCTGTCAACACTCACATCGTCGCCCACCTACCCACTGACAGGTCCCAGATTCCTATCCCCAGCAGAGGTGTCTCAAAGCTCCTGTGTAGATCCCTCTGCTCACTTGACGTGATCCCCGGAGGCTCAACAGGCACCCCAGAGGTCATGCCCCACTCCGTGCCTAAATCCTGCCTCCTTCCTCCCTCTCTGCCAGTGGCTTCTCTGCCTCCCCCTTTGCTGGGTCCCAAAGACCTGACTCTGTCCTTCCTCCTCCCTTTCTCTATACCTCACATTCTGTCAGTCTACAAATTTCATGGGTTCTATTTTCAAAATATACCCAAAATCAACCCAGTTTTCCCTGTCTTTGTCGTAACCACCATCCTGATCCGAGTTACCAAGCTTTCTCTGGACTAGGGCAGAGGCTGCTGCCCACCTTCCTCCTTCTACTCTTGTCTGCTTCTCAACGAGCAGCCAGAGTGTCCCATTTAACACTGCCACTTCCTGTCACTCCTGTGGGGTAGCCCTCCAGTGACTTCCCATTGTACTCAGAGCAGAAATCAAAGTTCCCAGTGTGACCTAAAAGTCTCTCCACGCCTGTCTTACCACTCTGACTGCATTTCTTGTGTCTGTCCCCCTCACTCACTGTGCTCAGGTACACTGACCTCCTTGCTGTTCTTTGAATCCGCTCAGCATACTCCCTCCTCAGGGCCTTTGCACATGCTGTTCCCTCTTCCTGACAGAATGCTCTTCCCCTAAGTATCCTCATGGTCCCTATTTCCATATAACTCTATTTAAAATGGCAGCCCCCACTTCTGTCCTCCTTTTGTTCTTTATTTCTCCCTGCTGTGCTTATCACCTTCTTTGTAGTATGTTACTATTTTGTTTATAGTATGTTATTTATAGTATGTTATTATTTTGTTTATAACTTTCTTAAACAGTGCCTTGAGAGTAGGACAACTTTGTTCCTCTTTTGGTGATATAACACCATTTTCTAAGTAGCACATAGTAGGTGATCAAAAATACTTGCTGAGCAAGTGAGTGACAGTGAGGTAGCAGGCTGGAAGTGGTGAGACAGTGGCGGGGTGCTGGGAACTAGGCTGGGGATCTGGAAATGTGAGTTTTGGTCTCAGCTCCACCCTTACTAGCTTAGACACTTAGGCATTTCATGCATCCAGTTATAAATATTTATTGTGTGTCCTTGATGCTTTTGGGCTGGCCCCTGCAGTATGGCAGTGAACATGACTGAGCTCTGCACTCCCAAAGCTGGGCTGCAGGCCAGCTTGAGCCTCCCGTTGTTCATCGGCAAAGTGGCCACTTTTATAGTTACTTTTCAGTATTATTGCAGAGATCATAGTAATAATAGTGGTAATACAGCAATAACAGCAGTGATAATAGTTACAGTAATACAGTAATAGCAATAATAACCAGTTATATTGTACTTATAAATATACTCAGTGCTATATTTACTGAGTATTTACTATGTGCTGAGCACTATGCTAAATGCTTTGTGTATATTATCTATTTTAATCCTCTAAAAATCCTTATGAAGAAGGTATAACATCCCATTTTATAGATGAGGAAACTGAGGCCACAGTGGTTCCAGTGGAGTGAGGATGCCCACTCAGATTCTTCACCCCAAAGCACTGGCTCTCAGTGGCTAGATTCTATAAGAAAGTTCTTTGTAAACCTGAATATAAATGTTCTGAGTTAGTTTAGTATCTCCCCTTCCTCCAAAGGGTGAGTTGTTAGGCAATTGCAGTAGTTTCCCAGATAGTCTGAAAGGGTGCTGTCCACTGCCCTGGCCACTAGTCATGTGTGGCTATTTAAATGTAAACATTTCACATGCTTCCTGGCCCCAGGTGGCTAGTGGCTACTGTATTGGACACGGAGTCTGGAACATTTCCATCTCTGCAAACAGTTCTACTCGAAATCTCTTAGACAAGGAGGAGGCAGTGAAGTGGTGTGTGGGGATGAGGCCTGAGTCAGTCAGACATTCCCAGTGGCTCTGGAGGGCCTTCTAGTTGCCAGGTTCTGGCCTTGGCACTTGGGAGGCAGGCCACGACAGACCAGGACCCGTCCCTGCCCTTAAGGAGCCTGTGTTCTCGGAGAGGGAGAAAGGCAGTGTGTAACTGTGTGGCTGTAGTGTGTGTGTGTGTGTGGGGCTGTGCACATGTGTACAATGTGCAAGAGACGGGGGGGGGGGGAAAGCACTTGCTACCTGGGCAGGTGTGCAGGAAGGGTGCTCTGAGGAAGTGACACCTAAGCAGAGCTCTGAGTGGAATGAGGGACGGGCATAGCCACATCTGGAAGGGAGCGTTCTGGCCAGGACTCTGGCCTTTGTTTCAAGGGCTCTGTGGCCGGCGTTGGGTAGGTGAGAGACTCACTCTCAGCCTTTCCTGGCACCTACTGGCAGGGGTGAGAACAGCAGGTGGTAGGGGTGTAAATGAGGAAGCAGGTGAGCAGGAGATTGAAGGAGACCTTGGCTGGAGATGTATTTTCAAAGTAGGGCCTGTGGGTTTGCTAAGGTTTATTGTGAGTTGAGAGCAAGAAGAGAGGAATTAAAGACAAAACCACAGATGTCAGCCTGAGCGCATGGGGGACCAGAGATGCCATCAGCTGATGTGCAGAGGCCCTGGGAAGTCAGTTTGGGTCTTGTAGAGTTGGCTATGGCCCCTAGGCATCCCAGGGTTCATGCATGGTAGAGAGCTGGATGGGTGAGTCTGGATTTGGGGGAGAAACCTGAAGTGTAGGTCTTCATTACAGAGCAGTCAGTGCATAAATAGCCTATAACACAGAGGGCCTGGGTGAGCTCACCTCAGGAGCCCGTCTCTGTGGGAAGAAGTGAGATCCTAGGGCCCAGCCCTGGAACAACCCCATGATTATTGGCCTGGAAGAAGAAAGGATCCAGGGAAGGAGGTGGGGTCAGTGTAAAGGGACCAGGACTGTGACCCAGAGGTCAAAAGAGGAGAGAAAAGGAGAAAAGGCTCCTTCAGGAAAGGAGAGAAGGCTCCTGGTTGGTAGAATAATGGCCCCCACAGATGTCAATGTCGTAAGTGGACAGTGGTTAATTGTCATTATATGTGGACAAGTGGTTAATTAGCTGACCTTAAAATAGGAGTGTATCTGGGATTATCTGGATGGTCCCAATGTAATCACAAGAGTCTTTAAGTGTGGAGGAGCGAGGCAGAAGAGAGGGCCAGCACATGTAGTGGGAAGGTCAGAGAGATGCAGTGAGGAGGACTCCACCTTGAAGGAGTCCTGCTGGCCTTGAAGATGGAGGGAGGAACCATGAGTTGGGATGCAGACCCCTCTAGAAGCTGGGAAGGTGGGGAGCAGATTCCCCCAGAGCCTCCAGAAAGGAGCACAGCTCTGTAGACACCTTGATTATAGTCTGATGAGGCCTATGCTGGTCTTCTGGCCTCTAGAACTATCAGAGAATAAGTTTGTACTATTTTAAGCTGCAGTAGAGTTGCAGTAATCTGTTACAGCACTCACAGGAAAGCAGTGCAGGTACATATCAAATGCTGCTGGTGAGCATGTGTGGTGAGAAAGGAGCTGCTCATTGAGTGGGGCCTTGGGGTGGCAGTGGTGGCCTTGCTGGGAGCTGTGTCATATTGCAGAGAAGGTCACCAGGGAGGGGCAGGATAGCATTGGAAGGTGGTGTCAGCCGGCACCTGTCACGGACACCGTGGGTGCAGAGTACTCAGAGCCCTGAGAGAGGCCCCTCTTCAGTCTGGGGACTGCAGAGAAGACAAGAATGGGAGACACTCAGAATCCAGTGAGGCTGTGCCGGGAGCCAGGGCTGAGGGCTTCTCCATGACGGGTCGTTTGCTCCCTGGGAACCTGCCTCTTCCTCCTGAGTGGCATTGTGGTCCTGGTGATGTCAGGGGCTATCCTGGGACACCTGCTCGATGCACAGCTGGTGTTGGTTGCAAGAATGGAGGACAAGGAGCTGGGGTGGTACTGGCGTACAGTGTGTGGTCTTGGGTGCACCTGGTGGGGTGGCTGAGTCGGGATTGGGCACCTGACACATTGGGTAAAGTGCAGTTCCTCCTCCATTGTGAGCCATTTACAGAAATTAGGTTCAACCACTTTTTACGAAGTTTTTCAGTAAATGATTTTATGCCTTTTGAAATTTTTAGGAGCTGCCCTGCATGCTTTGGCCCAGTGTGGAAAACTCTCACTTTAAGACTGCAGGTGAGTTTTCCTTCCGGTTAACTTCCCCTTGTTTTGACCATGAAAGCCTTCCACTTCCACCTCTCACATTCTGCTGGTGCCTTCCATATCTCCCTCCCCAGGCACACAGGTCGTTCCCTGATGTTTTTATACTAGGGCAGGCATCCTGCCCCCTCTTCAAAGCTGGCTGGAGCTGGAGTGCCCAAGGAGGAGCTTAGGGTCAGATGGGCTTGTCTTGATTTGCCTGTGGAGGAATCTAGTGAATAAAACACAGATGCACAGATTAGCCAGGTGCATCAGTTTCCATGGCTGCTTGAACAAATTTTCATAAACTTAATGGCTCAAAACAACACTCATTTATTCTCTTACCATTCTGGAAGGCAGAAGCCCGAAATCAGTTTCACTGGGCTAAGGTCAAGGTCAGCAGGGCCTCTGGAGGCTCCTTGCTTCTTCCAGCATCTTTTGCCACATGGTTACATTGCTTAGGTGGATGACCTGTTGCGTCAGCGGTCACATTGTCCTCTTCTGTCTGTCAAATCTCTGCCGTGTAAGGACGTCTGTGATTACATCTAGGGCCCTCCTGGGTAATACAGGCAGTCTCGCCACCTGGAGGCCCTTCTTTGAACCACATCTGCAAAGTCTGTTACCCTGAGACGATGTTCATGGGCACATAGGATTAGGACTTGGCTGTCTTTGGGGCCGTAATTTAGGCTGTCACACTTGGTGACAGGAAGTCAACTGACACTGACCTAAGCAAAAGGGAAGTGACAGGCTCATGGAGCTGAGATGGCCGGATCCCGGGTTCTGTTACTCCAGCCTCCCTCTATAGCTCCAACTCTGCTTCCTGTGGGAACGTCCTTCTCAGGTGCTTTCTTTCCACGTTGCTGTCGTGGGTTCACAGGGGCCCCACAGGTGGCACCTGAAGAGAGGACAAGACTTTCCCTAGTAGCTATGGCAGGAGTTCCAGGGAAGCCTGTGGGTGGGCTCAGCGTGGGCCCTATGCCTTTCTCTGCACCTGTCCCAGGGTCTAGGCAGTGGAGTTTTCTGGGGACAGGGATGGACCAGGATCCAGGCAGGTCCTGCTTGTCTGTACACACTGAGTGCGATTCTTACTGAACAGAGGATGAGTCCTTTCTGAAGGGAGGGATCACTCTGGAGTCCTCATTAGAGCTGAGGACCACGAGGAGCCAGAAGTCTTGAACGAGTGGACCAGGGATGAAGGCCTTGAGTGCCAGTGCGGCCCTAAGATGGTCTGCCCAGTGGGTCTGCCAGCAAATATGTCCCTGAGCCCATGGGGCTACTCGAATATGCTGATACTCTGAGTCAGTGGCTGACCTGGTGAAGCGCCCATCTGTTTCCATAGTCAAGGCCATTGTTTCCCAGATGCTCATTGGAAAAGGACCTTTATTTCCATCACAACTTTGTGAACCGAATCCATTGCAGGTATTACCCAAGGGAAAAAAAAAACACTTCAGTTTTATCTAGGACCCAGTTCTACATCTTTTTAATCAAATTTTTGGGGTTTTTTCTATATATATCTTAAAATTCCTTAGAAGGGGTTTGGCACCTGTAGCTCAAGTGGCTAGGGCGCCAGCCATATGCACTGGAGCTGGCAGGTTCAAATCCAGCCTGGGTCTGCCAAAAAACAATGACAATTATAAAAAATAGCCGGGCGTTATGGTGGGCGCCTGTAGTGCTAGCTACTTGGGAGGCTGAGGCAAGAGAATTGCTTAACCCCAAGAGTTTGAAGTTGCTGAGAGCTGTGATGCCACAGCACTCTACCCAGCATGATAGCTTGAGACTCTGTCTCAAAAAAAAAAAAAAAAATCCTTAGAAGGTTTTAAAAGCACTTCTAAAGACTTTCCTATCAATACATTGAGTAAGAAAGACTGAAAAATAAACTCACTTTCAGTTAAAGGGCAGTTTGTATTTGGATAGAAGATAAATGTGGAAGAAAGGCACAACTCCACAATCCAAGTGATTTAGAAAATACAGTTTTTAACGTTAAACATTTGATACAGCTAAGTACTTTCACATGCAGCATGGCATTTAATTGGCCCCTTGGACACCCGTCTAATTGGAATTTTAACCACAGTCCCAAGGGAGGGGAACTGAAGCTCAGAGAACTCAGCTGACCTGTCCAGGGTCCTATACTGACCAGCCACCAAGGAGCATCCACTCAGGAGGACTTTTGACAGTCCAGTCAGGATGTTTTAAGGGATATTCCTGTGTTTTACACATAATGCTCATGAATTTTCCAAATACATTGACGTAGATCAAATTCTAGAGAGAGCCATTTCACGTTGGATAGCTCAGTGGGCATTTGTGTCTGGCTGTGGACAGATCTTCCTTGAAATCATGGTCAGAGTGTTTGCTGAGAGCTTACTCTGCAGTGGGCAGGTGCTCAGAAGGACCCAGAGAGAGGTCAGACTCACTCTGCTCACTTTAGAGTTAAGGAAACTGAGGCACCATTAGTGGATATGCCCAAGGACTCATGGCCAGAGGGGCAGCCCCAGGATTTGAACCAGAGCTGCCTGGCGCCATGCATGTAAGAATCAGGACACCACCTTGCCCAGTGGTTCTGATTCTTGGGTGAGGCTGCACAACCCAGTTGGAGTGACCACACTTTGAGAAATGTTCTTCTTAAGCTCTGTATCTTCCTGGGACCCTGTCTCATTTTCCTGGAGTAGAGATGATAGACAAGCCATTCATCCATTCATTAGTTAATTCACATGTTCAGCAAGACTTTTGCAGGAGCCTTCCATATACTCTGTGTCCTCCAGACCTTAGCGACCGTGTCCTGTTGTCTCCTGCGCTGTATAAGATGTGCATTTCTGTTTTTCAGGGGAAGCACCCCCTGGAATGAAATCCAACAAGAAAATTGAAGTCTTTATCCCATTCCTGACTTCTGCAGCCTCGAGTGGGCCACGGACTCATTCTCTCTTCGCTTTTATACCTTCGTGGCCTGTGAAGACCTTATTTAAAAGAGAGTCTCCTATGACCCACCACATGGTAAGTAACAAGTTCAATACCTTAACAAAGACATCAGAAGTTGGAACAAAACCAATTTTGAGCCAAGCGTGTATACAATGTCACAGGCTTTTGTTTCTCAAAAAAGCCCTTTCCTCATTTTTCACTAAATACAGTTATCAATGGAGAGCAAATCTACTTACTTTTCCAAAGTGCCGTTTCTGCTCTGCTGCATACAGTATTTAGTTGGATAGGAGGTTTGAGTCAGAGCATTCGGTTGCCTCCTGTGGTGTTTCTAAGGCAGGGTTGGGCTCTGTTTTAACCAGGGCAGTTCATCCTGACTTATCATAAAATGCTGGTGCCCAGAACAGCAGTGAGCACTGAACAGACAGGACGTGCCAGGGGCTGGGTGTAGCGCTTTAAGGGCATAATCTCACATGGAGCCTTATGATAAGTTTTGCAAAGAGGTAGTATTATTATTCCCATTTTACAGACAAGACATTGGGGATTAGAGAGACTAAGAAACTTGTTCCAGGTACCGCAGGGAGAAGTGGCAGAGCCTAGATCTGAAGCCCCTGCTCTGTGCTGTCGCTCTTGTTTTATGTGCTGCTTCCACAATGGACTGTCTTCAACATAAGGTTTAATGACTTAAAATGCCATTAGAACCATTGAGCACGGCCAATGGGCTGCAATGGCCACGATCCCCTCCTTGGCTCCCCGCTGAATGGTATGTTTGTTATCTGGGGCTGCTGGGTATATCCTTCATGCTCTGGAGGCCACAAGGCCAAAGTCAAGTTGTTGGCAGAGTCAGACTCCCTCCAAGGCTCTAGGGAGGGCTCTGCCTGCCGCTTCCAGCTCCTGGCAGCTACAGGCCCTCTGGGCTCTGGCTGTGTCTCTCTACTCTCTGCCTCCATCTGCACTGGGTCTTTTCCTCTGTGCCTATCTTCTCCTGTGTGTGTCATTGGATGTAGGGCCCACCTGAACAACCCAAGATGATCTTATCATGAGATCTATAGTTCATTACATCTGCAGAGATTCCTTTTCCAAAAAAGGTCACCTGCATAAGGCTGGGGTCAGGATATGGATGTATCCTTATGGAGGTCACATACAACCCCCTGGAGGGGTCATTGCTCCTTCCAGTCCCCTTGAGTAACAGGGACTTATCACTTCACACAGTAGCACCCTCCATACTCCATCACCCCTTCTGTATTATTTTTTGCTCAACAAGCTATAGTTATCATTTATTGTTTACAAGATGCTACGTGAGCATCAGAAGAATAGGAATCCAGGTCTCTGCTTGGGGGTTCTGGCCAAGACTCATCGGGGCCCTGGCATGCCAAAGAAGCACTAGCATAGGAGCAGCAGACAGGAAACCCACCCAGTTCAGAAGCCTGAGTCAGGCTAATGCTGCTGCATGCCGCCCGTGTGTTCTCTGGGAAACCACTTCCTCATCTGCCTCTGCGCGAATATTCTGCATGGTGAGAGGGTTATGCAGTGGAGAGGGACATGGACTGTGGAAGAGTCATGGGATTCGGAGACACACAGGCCTGGCTCAAGCTTCCTATCTATGACCTTGGGCAAGTGAGTTCACCTTTCTGAGCCTTAGTTTTCTCATTTCTAAAATGGGAACAATAGAATTCACATGTGGAAAGAGACGGGTACAATGCCTAACTTTTGGTAAATGATGGCTGTTCTTGTGATTATTAATATCACTGAGAGTGAGGCCAGGCGTGGTGGCTCATGCCTATAATCCCAGCACTCTGGGAGGCCCAGGCAGGCAGATTGCTTGAGCTCACAGGTTCAAGACCAGCCTGAGCCAGACCAAGACCTTGTCTCTAAAAATAACCAGGCGTTGTGGTGGGCACCTGTATTCTCAGCTACTCGGGAGGCTGAGGGTAGAGAATCTCTTGAGCCCAAGAGTTAGAGGTTACTGTGAACTATGACACCATGGCACTCTACCGAGGGTGACATAGTAAGACTCTGTCTCAAAAAAGAAGAAAATCACTGAGAATGGCCATAGGCCAACTCAGAATGCAGCTTACCCCACTGCAGGTGGGCAAACAGAGAGCGTGGGGTTGGTGGGGGCATGTCACCTCTAGCCAGGAGAGCTTGGAAAGCTCACCCCACAGGCTCAGCATCCTGTTTGGTTAAGAGAATGTGTACTGATCCCATGGGGGCGAGGGCCCTGGGGTTGGGGGTCTGGGGAGGGTGGAAATGAGCGGATACTGTTTGTGATTAGGAGGGTGGTGGAGCCTGGGGTTCCCAGGGCAGCAGGAGGCTCACCTTTGATGGGTGACCCCGGCCTTCATTTTGCAACCTCCACAGGAGCCATTGCAAAGCCAGGGGAGGCCACAGCAGGCGGGTTGTCTGTGTTGGTGGTGGGTCCAGGTCAGGGAGGGGTCGCCCCAGCACCCTGCTCTTTGATTCACTCTGTGGCCCTGGGAGTGGCTGGTGTACTACATCAGCCTGCAGCTGAGGCACACGGTTCATGCTCCATTCATTAGGTGATCTGTTCACCACTCTGCTCACATTCCTCTTGTCATGTGTCTCTCTGGTTTGCTGAGTCCCAGTGACGACACGTGTCCTCATGTGGAGCCCAGACCAGGAACTCTCTGAAGGGGAATCTCATGTCCACATTCTTCTCTTCTCATGATTTTCATTTCCAATCCTTTAATGCCCTTTTAAAAATAAATTTTCTAGGTCATGTATAGATTAGCAGAAATACTCACTCTATCCTCCCTTTAGAAGTTCACCATATTGTACTTTTAAAGAAATAGATATTTCATGAACTGTTTTTCATTTTCGACTGATTTCTGTATTCTATTGTAGTATGGAGACCTTTTAAGAGATGTTCCAGGGACTTCTGAGAATGGAGTAATTTTTCAGAAATGTGCACTGGTAAGTTTTCATAGCTGACTTATACTTGAGAAAATTACAGATTTTGCTCAAATCATGTTAGTGGAGTCATGTATTTAAGAATTGGCAAATTGTGGACTTACCTACCCTTGTCTAGCATGTGAGTGATGAAATAAATGAGGGGTCTGATGCCTTACATGATAGCACCAGGACTGAGAGTTTTTGTTTTTGTAATAATTAGATAACTGTCAGTACAAATCCATAGGAATCATTTAGAATGAGAAAGAAGTATGACATATTTTCCTTCAGATTATAAATATCAGTATGGTACCTGACAGTTTTCAAAATGTATTTAATGTCTTGAATCTTACTAATTCTACAAGATGGTTATTTATCATTCTGTGTTGGGGGTCCCCTGCACCACCCTCAGGTTCATGATTTGCTGAAAGGATTTATAGAACTCAGAATAGCCATTATGTTTAGAGTTAGAGTTTGTTACTGTGAAAGGATACAGATTAAGGTCAGCAAAGGAGAAAGGCAAATGCGGAGAGACCGGGCCTGAGCTTCAGCTGTGCTCTCCCAGTAGAGTCACGTGACAGTGCTCAGTTCCCCCAGCAATGACGTGTGACGGCACATATGGGAGGCCACTACCCCGGGGAGGTCACCTGAGCCCCGTGTCCAGGGTTTTTCTCAGGGCACTGCTGTGCAGGCACGAAACACCAGTAGGACTGACCAGTTTCTTGTTCTCCAGCTCCTCCAGAGGTCACGTGGATACTGCATGGCCCAGAGCTTGTACCTCAGCTCACACTGTGGCCATCAACCCTCTAGTCAGGTCCAAGTCCTCAGTTGTGCAAAAACACTTTAATTAGGCAGGACATTCATTCCATGGGCTTCAGAGGTTATCTCCCAGGAGCTGGTTAAGGGCCAGTCCTGTTTTTGGAATGTGGGGGGTTTGACAACCCAGGCCTGCTGAGTTCATCCTTTACTGCACCACCCTTTTTTTTTTTTTTTTGAGACAAGAGTCTCAAGCTCTCACCCTGGGTAGAATGCTATGGCGTCACAGCTCACAGCAACCTCAAACTCTTGGGCTTAAGTGATTGTTTTGCCTCAGCCTCTCAAGTAGCTGGGACTACAGTTGCCTGCCACAACACCTGGCTATTTTTGTTGTTGTTGTTGGCAATTGTCATTGTTGTTTTAGCTGGCCCAGGCTGGGTTCGAACCCTCCAGCTTTGGTGTATGTGGCGGCGCCGTACCCACTGAACTACGGGCACCACCACCACCCTTGTTTTATCACAGACCCTCAGTTCCCTGTTTGCCTTCCTGGTTGCAGTCCGTGCCAGTGGTTTCTCCTGTGTCCTTCCGCCACGTTTTCTGCCGTGTGCATGCAGTTACGAGGTGTGTACGTGTGTGTACACATACGTGCACCTTCCTGCTCTCCCTGTCTACGTAGTTGGCAGTGTACTACACACACAGTTCTGAAACTTGCTTTTTTTACTTCTTATATTCCAGACCTCACTAGTCTCAGAACACATGTTGCTTCCCTGTCTTCATTCCAGCCCCTGTGTCTGTTTCAGCAGAGCTGGGGAGAAGCGGTGCAGGGGTGGTGGGAGATAAGTCTGGAGAGGGGATCAGGGCAGGAGACCAGAGCCAGGTGGCCAGCCCGACTCATGGGTCACTGGGTGGCTTCTAGCCGTGGAGCTTCTCACGTGCCAGGCAGAGCTAGAGGCCAGCAAGTAGCTGCGCTCATTCCTGGGGTTCCTGTGGCCATCAGAGACCACAGGGCAGGGCTCTGTGTCTGGGACTGAGTCCATAAAATTCCTGAATCCCAAGGAGCCATTGTTTGCTTTTTAGGGTAACATTGATTATCCTAATTTGACTAGGATTCTGCATTTGGGTATTTTCTCTTCTAAGATTCTCTGCAGAGATGATTTCAGTACATTTCAGGGCCTCAGATTTTTTGAAACTGTCTCCAACCAACAGCTTGGCAACTGTGGGTCAAAACTCTCCTGGGTCTTTGATATCTGACAGGGCCCGAGAAATTCTCCGAGCCTCTGTGAGGCAGTGTTACTCTCCGTCTTCCTGGAGACTAATGTGCACCAGGTGGGCTTGTGCATCATTTGAAGAAGCTGGACTTGTCACAAACCTGTCCTCACTTCCTCTCCTCTGGTCCTAGGTGTCAGGGCAGAGTGAATCGCAGACAGCCCACGTGCGGCTGTTTGTTAACAACCAGACACCTTTGTCAGCCAACCTCTCAGATCTTCTCTTGCTGGATAACATCACTGGCCTCACTGTGAGGGAGTCGATCGGAAATAAGAGCTCAGGAGGACTCCAGGCTTTCAGAAAGAAGTTTCTGCAAGGTAACAGTGGTGTTCTGAGTCAGGGAAGGCAGGTGAAGCGAGCCCTCGGATTCTCCTGGGTCAGGTCTCTCGGTACAGGCACATTCTCAGACGCCCCACACGCGTCCACTCACTCAGTCCTTGCGGTGGAGTTTTTTGTCAGGGTTCAGAAGAAGTGACTGCCAGCTGGTATCTGCCCCCTGAACGCTGAGTTTCTTAGTTATGTTAGAGAGAGCTTGGATCTGGGGAAAGAGTTGGAGGGTTTTAAAAATATATATACACCCCATTTTTTATTATGAAACATTTGAAACGTACACAAAGATGGAGCTTGCAGTGAATACTAGTACAGGTTGTCCCCAAGTTATGAATGAAAGGAGGTTTGTCCTTCAGTTGAATTTGTATGTAAGTTGGAACAGGTACTTTTACCTAGTCCCTGTAATAGCTTCCATTTAATAAGTGTGAGTTGTATATAAGCGGGGTGTCTGTAACTTGGGGACTGCTGTGTAGTCATCACACTGCTCACCAGCAATGCCATCAGTCAGTATGACAAAGCGTTTGTTCTGGATTGTGCTGGACTGAGGAGGGAGGGAGAGGGTTGTCATCAGCCTCAGAAGCATGTTCAGGAGAGGTTCAGGTGCGTTCACATTTGTCCAGGCGTGGCCACGCAGCTCCCCTGGGCAGCCTCACTGCTGGCTGCTTGTACCATGTGTCGCCATCGCTGGGTCACTTTCAGAGGTTTGGTTCCTGAAGTGAGCTGGGGTTGGTTAAGCAAGCAGGTGTGAAACTAATTCTGGGACTCAGTTGTTACAGTGGCCTCAGAACTGGCTGTTTGCCCAGGAAGGTAGAGACTTCCTTTGGTAGGTATCTCATTTATAGATGAAGGGACTAACGTGGTTGAGAAGCTGTCCCAGGGCATGGGCTGACAGGCCAGGCAGAGACTTAAAAGCAGGCAGTCTGGCTCCCCCGCACCTGGTAACTGTCACACAGTCGCATTATCTGGGTGCCTAGAACTTCACTGGCTCCCTGCACACACTCGGGGGCCCCTTGCTCACTGGTCATGCTACTCTTTCCCTCAGAATCCTGCTGTTATTCACAGAGACTACAAGTGGGGCTGGCCCCCAAGTCGTGACCTTCCTGCTTGCTCTGGTTTAAAGTGTCACGAAATCGTTACATGTCCCAGCCAAGAGACCGTCAATGCTTTCCTTCCTTCAGTGATGTAAAAATAAATAAATATCCTTTTCTTAAGCTTGTGTTTGGAGAATGGAGTATGGCCTTGAGTGGAGAGCACAGACTCAGTCTCAGGTGACCTGAGTGTGACTCCTAGCCTGGCTCCCAAGTAGCTACATGGCTTCTGGAAAGCTACTGAACTGCTTTGAACCTCAGATGTCATGTGTGTATGGCAGTGTCTCCTGGACTCACAGAGATGAGCATGTCACCTGGCACTCTGCTGGGGAAGGGACAGTGCCCAGTGCCTTTCCTGGCCCATAGCCCCCGCTGCCAGCCTCCTGCCACACCAGGCTGCCACCTTCCTCCCACCTCTTGGCCCTATTTCACACTAGAGTGTCAGCAGCATCTCTCCAACTCTGTGTATAGATCTCTGTTCTCCAAAGCCTGACCCTGGTGTCCCCTTTTCTAGGAAGCCCTACCCCAACCTCCGCCCCAAGTCTCCCTCTGGGCCCCTGAACTCCAGACAGGCTTCCCTGCCCCCACCTGAGCTTCCCTGCTCAGAGATGCGTGTCATTTTAAGCACTTCCCAGGTGTGGATCTGCGGCATCTGCCCAGCAGGTGCGCCCTGCACATCTCAGCTCTCTACCACTGAGCATGATACTAATACCTACCCACAAAGGTGTGGTAAGGATCAGGGACTTACAGCATTAACTGCAACATGGCCTGGCCTATGGGAGGTGCTCCTGGTTAGTCTGTGTTTTGCAGTTATTTTTATTCTTATTTCTGTGTCCCTCTGACATTCATCTTGTGCCTCTGTCTGTGAGGCCCTAAGTAAGGGCAGTGTCCAAGTCACATGTGTCTGTGAATGTGCCACCCTGCCAAGGGATGTGGCCTCAGTTTTTACCTTAGGGGACCTGTGACTTTTTCCACCAAAGAGTAAGTAGACAACTGTCAAGTAAATAACAATGAAATCAAATTACCAAGGAGGCCCCAGTTCCTTGACACGCTGACCTCATTATTATTATTACCATCACCTAGTGCTTTGCTTTATGACAGTCAGTGTCATTTGGGGGAAAGCTGATGGCACTGGGAGGTTTGGGTGTTTCCCTGCCTGTCAGTGGGGACCCCGGCCTTCCTCCCTCTCCCAGCCTCAGGTTCTTCTTTGCTGTGCTGCAGGAAGTAACGCGTCCTCTTCCTCCTCAGAGCACCGTGCAGGGCCGCTGGTTAATGTGCACGCAGCCACACGGGCAGGGAAGGTCTGGTGACAGTCACCGTCCCCAGTGTTACCATTTTCATTATCACAGCTTACCTTTATCACCTTATTTTCATTACTTTAGCTTTTATCCTAATATAAAAATAAAGTCAGCTGGGCACAGTGGTGTTCGTCTGTAGTCCCAGCTACCCAGGAGGCCCAGGTGGTAGGGATCACTTTAGCCCAGAAACTAGAGGCCAACCTGGGCAACACAGCAAGACCCCATCTCTAAAAAGGTTTTTTAAAATGAAAATACTGAGGATTTTTAAAATGCAAATTCCAGTGGTTCCTTAGGCTTCATGCTCATTTCTCCTCTTACGTTTACAGTATACAATAGAAACTCTGTAGTCAGCCACTTCCCCACGTTGACCACCTCTGTAAGTTGACCAGATTTCCTAGGAACCAGATACGCACCATGTGTACATGTCAGCACCACCTCCCTGTGCTGACCAGCTTGTTATAGTCCCCTGGATGGTCAGCTTACAGAAGATCTACTGTGTATATTTTTTTGTGGTCTCCATACATTGAGAAGTGAAGCCCGCTAGCATATTAGGGCTAGAATGTAACCCCAGTTTCAGAGAAAGGCAAAGTTGGAGGACAGCTTAGGTGAGAAGAGGATTGGCAGGGTCAGATGGGCTTCCTACGTACCAGCCACGTTGGGCCACAGCCCCCAGACCTGGGGGCACCCCCTCACGAGCAGGTCGAGCTGGGGGCCAGGCCACCGAGACTGACTGATCAGATGAGGTGTGCTGCGCTGTGAGAAAGGGGTGGGGGCAAGTATGCCCTGCTTCTCCTGTTCCCCCTCAGAATTTTCCCCTTCCTCCGACTGCAGGAATGTGTAAGAGAAAGGGCTCCCTGCTGCAGCAGTGACAGTCACCATGAAGGTGAACTCCCCTGGAAACTGCAAAGCAGGTGCCAGGCTGTGTCTGGGGTGGGGTGGAGCAGGGCCTGGGGCTGTGGAAGGAGGGGCCCAGAGGTGGGTCAGGACAGGCCCTAAGGTAGGTGGGGCGGGCTAGAGATGGGTGGGGCAGGGCCAATCCCCTCCCTTGACACTCATGCTTCTCTCTGAGCAGTGGGAGACTCCTTTGAGGTCAGCTACACAGCCTCACTGCAGCCTGAAGGCCTCAGACCCGGAGAGAGCCTGAAGCTTCCCGCCCACCTCACCTTTCAGAGCACGTCACTGGTATTAATTTTTTTTTTTACTTAGATTTCTGTCTTGTCACTGCCATGTGAGATTGTTTTAGGAACACTGACGTTTAGGGCACTAGGCTCTGGGCCCCGGAGTCTTAGTAACACCTGTGTGACCTTCATAATTTATTTAACCCCTCTGGGCCTCAGGCAGGGTTGTCGTAAGGATAGTAATCCATACACGTTAATAGCTCATCACTGTGCCTTGCACATTGTAAGCACCTCGCAAGTAGTTAGCGTTAACTTTAGTTTTCGGGGTGGCCCTAACATAGTACCCCAGCTGAGGGGCTCACCAGTGACAGCAGGTCATCATTTCACAGCCAAGAGGCTAGAAGTCAGGGTGTCACCAGAGCTGGTCCTTGCTGAGGCCTCTCTCCTTGGCTTGTAGACAGTATCTTCTCCCTGTGTCCTCACATCCCTCTGTTTTGGTCCTAATCTCCTTTTCTTATGAGGACACCAGTCACATTGGCTCAGGGCTACCCCATGACCTCACTTACCTCTATTACTGCTTTCAAGGCACTGCCCCCAGCTAGCTTCAAGCTCTGAGGGTCTGAGGTTTAGAACGTCAACACACGAATGTTGTGTATCCCTGAACATTGTCGTTCTTAGTTCTGGATTTCTCACTTACCCTTCTGTGACTCCACATATGCAGAGAATGCTGGCTGGCTGGAGTCTTGGGCGGGCGCTGCCCACCCTGCATGCGGGCTAGAGGAGAGGCGTCCTTGTCTCTCAGAAGCTCTCGAGGCTCAGCTTCTTTTTGTCAGGTTATTCTGACTGCAGCCCCTGAGAAAGTCTCTTTTCCCAGATGTAGAAAATGTAGCTCAAAGTGGCTGGGACTGCCCAGGTCATGGGGCAAGCAGATCTGACCCTTCAGCCGCCCGCCCCTCCTGGGGCCTTCTCACAACCGTACGGCTACATGGCCTGTGTGGTGTTTCCTGAAGTAAGGAAAAAAATAGAGATAAATTTAGATAAAGTGAAAGATACTGAAAAGGTAAAGACAGATACAAGAAAACTATAAAACTGTTGGGAATGACAGATCTCCCAGGAAATAAGTATAAATTCAAAAAAAGAGAGAACAAAGAAAGATTTAAAAAGATAGGAACAAAGTGTCCCAGAAGAAATATCGTCAGCAATTTCAGAGGATAGAAAGCCAAGTATGTCAAAATCAAAGTCTAAGATAAGGGAAGAATCAGAAGGCAAGTCTGAAACTCAGAATAAAAGGAGGCCAGGCACCTGGCTCACTCCTGTAATCCCAGCACTCTCCGAGGCCCAGGCAGATAGGTGCTTGAGCTGAAGAGTTTGAGACCAGCTTGAGCAAGAGTGAGACCCTGTCTCTAAAAACAAAAAACTAGCTGGGCATTATGGCTGGCGCCTGTAGTCCCAGCTACTCAGAGGCTGAGGCAAGAGGATTGCGTGAGCCCAGAAGTTGGAGACTGCTGTGAGATATGACACTACAGCATTCTACCCAGGGTGACAAAGTAAGACACTGTCTCCAAAAAAAAAAAAAAAAATTAACAATTAAAAGAAAAGGAAACCAAAGATCATGTCTCCTCCAGCTGTGAAGCATTTGAGGATCTGGCGAGAGGTTTGGGGTACAGTGTGGCTCCCTCACCTACTCCACACCTCCTCTCCTGACCCCTCCTGACACAGTCCTGTCTGCTCCTTTGCTCAGTTCCTTGTCTGTGATACTGACTCCATCCCCCCGTAACCCTCCCCCAGCCCTCTAGAATGTCAGCTCCACGAGACAAGGGACCTCCTCTGTCCTGTTCACAGCTGTGTCCCCAGTGCCAAAAGGAGAGTCCTGCTCATGACAGCTGTTCAGTGACTATCTGTTGAACAAGTGAATGAACACATCAGTGAACTAATGAATCTAGGACAACTTTTTTTTTTACATTCTCTGTGCGTCTGGTTTCTCATCTGTGAAAAGGAGATTGTTCTATTAATACCTTCAGTTTTCTATGGGGATAAAGAAAATGATGTATATATGAATGTACACATGGCCTAAAGTTCCTTCTTTCTCTGAGCTTTTAAGACTCTCTGGGCAGTTCCATGGACAGAGAGTGAAGGGCAGAGAGCAAGGCCCACCTGCCCAGCTGAAGATTCCTGAGTCCCAAGCTTCATCAGCTGGAGTTCTGGGCCTGCCTACGCTGTTAGACCACTAGCTTCACCTCCTCCCACACACTCTGATAGAAATGACTTACAGAAGGCAATCAGCCAGTGTCTGTGGCGTGAATAAGTGTTGGAAGTTGGCAGGGGCCTCCTGTGCCTAGTTCTCAGACAGTTTCACCTGATTGGACTTATGAGTCCCTTTCACTGACTCCTGGGCTTTTGGCTTTTGTTTTGTGCAGTGGTGTCATCACAGCTCACTGCATCCTTGAACTCCTGGGCTGAAGTAATCCTCCTGTTTCAGCCTCCCAAGTAGATGGGTCTACAGGTGTGGACCACCCCACTGGGTAATTTTTTAAAAATTTTGTGTAGAGAAGGGGTTTTAGTTTTGTGCCCAGGCTGGTATCAAATTCCTGGGCCCAAGTGGTCCTCTTATCTTGGCCTCCCAAAGTGCTGGGATCACTGGTATGAGCCACTGTGCCCAGCCACCTTCTAGGCTTTTATAAATTATATAATGAAGGTCAGTGTGTGTTTGGAATTAAAAATGATCAGACCCTAAGTCTGAGTGAGACTTCTATCAATTCCACATGAGAACACACTGGTTGTTCTACTTATTAGCGAGTTGTAAAGAGTTCTTATACTACAAATGGGGAAATAAAGGATTTGTTTAAAAATCCATCGTGTGCATGGGATGAGTGTTCACGTCAGTGCACGTGTTCCAGAGGCTGTATTTTCAGAAGCAATGTAACTTCTTGGACTTCACCCCCACCCCCCAACACACACTGAAAAGTGAGAGAAGTAGGAAGACCCCCCCACCCCCGGCTCTTCTAGCTCTGCCATTTTAGAGCCGTATGAGGCAGTAAAATTAGTTAATCACTTACTGGGGCCTACTCCATGCCAAGTGCAAGAGGTAGTTACAGTCAGAAAGGCATTGCATTTGGGTCTGGAAACTGCCTTGTAAACACACACACAGAGCCACCAGCTCCATGTGGGCTAGTTACATGAAACCACCTACAGGAAGGCAGGTCAAGAGGGAAAATGCTAGAATGTTCATCTCAAGTTTTTTATACCATGTTATATAAACATTATGTCCACCCTATAAAACTGCCACTAGGTCCCACTTGGTCCACATTTTTTATTTCAGCCTAGGATCTAAAACATGCTTCCCAAGTCATGAAACTTATATCCTAAGTACAGAGGTAAGGATTTGTGTGTCACCAAGAGTTGAAGACATGCTCTGGAGTGCACTGTACCCTCCGATCTGCTTAGACCTTGGATCAGAAAACACAGGTGGGCGCAGCAAAGTGTGGCTGAAGTGGACCTCAGCTAGTCTCAGGGGGCCCTGAGATGCTCCAGGACGGAAAGGAGCAAACAATTGCCCTGCAGTTGTCTCTCCCTTAAAGAATCAGGTTAGGGGGGGCTGACTCAGGGGTGTCTGTGATGAGAGTTACACAGAGGTTGCTTAGCACCTGGGACTCCAAGCTCTGAAGCCCCAGGCTGGGGTAAAAGCAGTGATACTCCTACGATCGCTGTTGGCACTCCTGCTAGCCACTTCTGCCAATAGCATGATGCTGTTCTCGCCCTGTGTACCAGGCACCCCTCCCCTCTGCCAGGTTCTACATTAAAAGTGGAGGCAGGCACAGAGCGGTCACTACCTTGCTGGGGTCCGACTGCTGGTGTGTGATGGAGCCATGTGGCACTGTGGCTTGACCCTCAAGACTGTTGACTGAGGCTTTTTCTTATTTCCTTTTCTAGAACAGAACGCAGCTAAAAGCCCTTTTTACCATAACAGCAGAAGAAAAGATAACGGTAAGAGAAACTCTGTGACCCACACACCCTGCCCACCCGTACTCGTGTGTTCTTTTGTGCAGGTGCTGCTCTGGCTCCTGCCTGTCCTCAGAGTCCAGGGCAGGGCCTGCTGCTGACCTTCGCCCCCCCCCCCCCAGAAATGTGTTGAGGCTGGGAGTTCCAGGCTGTCTCTCAGGTCCTCCCCCTGTGGCCTGGGGCTGTCTGGCTGGTTTCCCTGGTGACCTTCCACCTGGGCAGGACGGGCTGGCCTTTGGCTGGACAAGCTGAGGCTCTCCTGCCTATCTGTGCACAACCTTGTCCCTTTCTGCTGTTCATGTGTTGTCTTCCTGGAGCCCTGTGGTGTGTGGGCAGGTGTCCCAGCTGCTGCTGTCCACTGTTAACAGGGCTCCATGTTTGCTCACCAGTTTGATCATTCACAGCCCATGCACCCACTCACTCAGCGTTCCTCAACTGTCGATTCACTGTGTGTCATCACTTCACACTTCTGAAGCACCTGCTGAGTGCCAGGCTTTCTAGGCAGTTTACATATGTCAAATCATGTCATCTTCACCATACTCTTGTGAGATAAATTCTATTTTTTTTTTTTTTTTGAGACAGCCTCAAGCTGTTGCCCTGGATAGAGTGCCATGGCGTCGTAGCTCACAGCAACTTCCAACTCTTGGGCTCAAGCAATCCTCTTGCCTCAGTTTTTCTATTTTTAGTAGAGACGGGGGTCTCACTTTTGCTCAGGCTGGTTTCAAACTTGTGAGCTCAAGCAATCCACCCTCCTTGTCTCCCACAGGTGTGAGCCACCATGCCCGGCCAACAAATTCTATTTTTAAATCATCCCCATTTTAGAGATGGGGACACTAAAGCACATTAAGGTTTAGTAATTTAAAACTACCCTGAGATAGCACCTAACTGCAGTGACATTAGCCCACATTACAAACTCCCAAAGCTGCAGATGCTGGCATGGGTATGGAGAGAAGGGATCACTTTTACACTGCTGGTGGGATCTGACATAGCCTCTTTGGAAAGTAGGATGGAAATTCTCAAAGAACTAAAAGTAGACCTTCCATTTGATCCTGCAAATGGTGTCTACTGAGAAGAAAAAAGAAATCATTTTACAGTAAGGACATTTGCACTAGAATGTTTATCGCAGCTCAATTCACAATCACCAAAATGTGGAATCAACCCATCTACACCTGAATGGATTAATAAACTGTGGTATATGTATACCATGGAATACTATTCAGCCTTAAGAAAAGATGGAGACTTTACATTTTTGTATTAACCTGGAGTTGAAACACATTCTCCTTAGTAAAGTATCGCAAGAATGGAAAGGCAAGAATCCAGTGTACTCAATACTAACATGAAACCATGAGGTGAACTAATCCACACCCACACAAGAGGAAAGCACAATTAAACTCGAGTCAGCTCTTTGCCACTGGTCTGGCCTGGACCAGCCAGGTCCCGTTCCCTCGGCTTATCTAGCTGTGTTCTGGACAGTGCTGTTATCTCGCTCAGGAACAATTGCTCTTAGGTGCCTGACGGCTATTTACTTTAGCAGAAGAGAGGGAGGAAGATAAACAGTCTTTGAGGGAGAAGCAGTCTTAGAATAGATCTTAGCAGTCTCTCTTAGCTGAGCTTAGTACTCTTTAGCAGAGAGACGCCATGCGGCATTCTGCAGGCAGAAGCAACCGAGTCAGAGAGAGAGGTCAGTGATAGGATACGCAAGCTCCCCACTGCCTGGTCCTGCAGCCTAATAATAGAGGTGATCGTGTGACGCTTAACACCACAGGTGTAGAGACTGCCAATTCACTAATGCTCTCGTCTCACAAGTGCTCATGCTTGTTAGGAGAGCCAAATCCCTCCCCATGCCCTTTTCACCAAGGTGTTCCATTACCAAGCTATACAGGTGTTACTTATAACCAACTCTCACTCCTCCTTGCCATATGCTGTATGGGCTGCTATAGTCGGCCGGAGGGGGATTGGTGTGCTCTGCCCTAACAGGCACAATGTAGGGGTACATGGCCACCTTCTGGGTGAAGGGCACAGCTACAACTTGGATTCTAACAAATGGAAACAATGTAACCTAATCATCTGTACTCTTATATTAATCTAAAATGTTTTTTAAAAGGAAACACTTTCATATATGCATTATATTTTAAAAAATCCAAATAAATACTTTAAGCAGGAAAAAAAAGTTAAGTAGTGTCCCAAAATCACCCCTAGGCTTGATCGTTTGCTACAATGACCCATAGGGTGCCTTGCATTTTATAAGATCTCCATAATGTCACCTGTTGTCATCAGTGTTATTATTGTGCACGTGTGAAAGCAACACACAGCTATGCCGAGTGTTCTGTGGTCATTGAGAGTGAACTCTGGGTGTCAAGGTCTCACATACAGAGACCCCTGGTGGCCAAATTTGGTGCTGCTTTTGTGTGTCAGGTTCAGGGTGAAATTCTAGGGAGTAAATGGAGTTGGGGGCCGTCTGGGACCACATTGACCATTATTCCCATCCCCACCCTCACACTGAGACATTAACTGCAGAAACAACCAAATGATGTGCACAGTTATTGAAGAGTTATGACTGAATTTGTCATAACTACGACAGATTCAGGGCTAGCAATTTGGAATATAGATGGATTGTACTGTGGCTACTGATAGGAGAGAGAGAGAGTGCTGTGGGCCTGGGCAGGCTGGCAGGCTTCTAGGAGGAGGAAGAACTCAGTTGGGCCTTGAAAGGCCTTAGTTAAAGGTGGGGAAGGGGCATTTTAAAATACATAGCTAAAGAGGCAACTTGAAAGTTAAGCCCATATTGACTGTTGGTCGGACATGAACCCAGGTCTGTGGGGTGAGCTGTACATGAGGATGGGTCAGGGTTCTCTGGCAATAGCAGGGCTCTGGGCATCTGCACAGCTAACCAAGTCACACCAGGAAAGTTGTGACAGTGCCAAACAGGGAGCTCGCCACGGAAGGGAGCAGCTCTGCTGCTGTGCTCATCACACAGGTAAAGATGTGTCATGGTGTAAGTTGGGAGTCTGGGATGCTTGTAAACTGCACCGTCCTTTCCTTTTTTTTTTTTTTTTTTTTTTTTTTGAGACAGAGCCTCAAGCTGTCCCCCTGGGTAGAGTGCTGTAGCATCACAGCTCACAGCAACCTCTAACTCCTGGGCTCAAGCGAGTCTCCTGCCTCCGCCTCCCAAGTAGCTGGGACCACAGGTGCCTGCACCATTTTTTGGTTGCAGCTGTCATTGTTGTTTGGCAGGCCGGGCTGGATTCAAACCTACCACCTTAGGTGTATGTGGCTGGCACCTTAGCCACTTGAGCCACAGGTGCTGAGCCTGCCCCGTCCTGTCCTTAATGGAAACTGACACATGTCAGCCAAGGAAAATGAGGCTCCAAGAAATGGCTTCCTTCATTTTATGGCTCCTGGATGAAAAGATATTTGTGTTGTTGTTGATTATTTAGGGGCAGGGTCTGGCTCTGTCATCCAAGCTAGAATGTAGCAGTGTGATTACAGCTCACTGCAACCTTGAACTCCTGGGCTCAAGCAATCCTTTTGCCTCAGCCTCCTGAGTAGCTGAGACAACAGGTGTGTGTCACCTTGCCTGGATAATTTTTCAAAATTATTTTTCTGTAGAGATGAGGTGTCACTATGTTGCTCAGGCTGGTGTTGAACTCCTGGCCTTAATGATGTTTCCACTTCCACCTCCCAAGGTGCTACGCTTACAGGCATAAGCCACCATGCCCAGGAAATAGAGTCTTCTTGAGAGGAAGAAACAACTGTGCTAGATGTTGAGTACAGGCCTCAGATTGTGCCTGTAAGAGGGCTGGGCGCTCTGCCACGCGCCAGGAGGACAGGCTGTGATGTTCTACGGCCAGGATCCCAGGTCTAATCAGAGAGAGACATTTAAACCAATTGTCATGGTGCCCCAATTCATTTAGAACACAATTTTAATAATAATTCTAGTGGGACTTTGAGGGGTAGGTGATAAAATCATAGTTCCATCTGAAATAGAAATTATAAAACTAAATGGGAAGGTTTTGCCCTCACCTAGTAGATATTAAAAGTATTATAAAGCGACATGGATGCAGTCTGCCCCTCTGTCAGGAAGCTCAGAGCAATATAACAAAAGGAGTAGCCACACACACATATATACCCACGTATGTAAAGGACGGTGCTTTAACTCGGTGGGAGAATATGTTATACATGAATTTGAGGGCAACTGACTGGATCTTTTGGAACAAAAACAAAGGTGGATTTCGTATTTAGATTTAAATCTGAATAGATAAAGCAATTTGTAGGATGTCTATATGGGCTAATATTATATGAGCTAAGGAAAACTGGAAACAGTTGCAACTTTACACGTAAAAACAGCATTTAGAATGATAAATGAGAAACTTGGGGGATATTTATAATAAACATGTAAGATAAAAGGTTATATCTTTAACATATAAACAGCATCTATAAATTTACAAGAGAAGGAATACCTCAATAGGCAGCTGTCTACACATGAGAATTTCCCCAATACAGGGTTTTGCACAGTGCCCTTGAAGCACAGTGGAGGGACTGGATAAGTCTTTGGCAAAATCATGTGGCTTTGCGTCGCATCCAGAGGCCTGGGGTGTGCAAACAGCCTCATGTTACGCTTCTGCCTTCCTGCCATATGCTCCTGCCCCACTAGCAGTTGCCTGATCTGGTTCTTGTATCTGTCTCGGTCACTGTTCATCCTCCTGATTGTCTTCCCAGCCTTCACTTTTGCTCCACTCTAGCCCTCTGTCCACTCTGTAGTGATCTTCCTTACAACACAAGCTGGCCTGCTTTACGTTCTCCAGGGTCCCCAGTCAGGATCCTTCAGGGAAGTCAACCCTGCAAGCCGTCTCCCAGTGTCGCCGGGCCCTTCCTTTCCCCGGTTTCCCGTTGCTCCCTTTGCACACCCTCTTCCTTTCTCACCTGTCCTTTTGGAAAGTTGTAACCATTTTGCAAACCCCACCCAAACTCTCTCCAGCGGCCCC